AGTGAAAACATACCTATTAAATATATATCACTACTATTAGTGCAAAAGGTAGTATGTAAAAATTTTCAACTTTTATTCTGTTTGTGCTAAATGTGACATTTTGTAGTCTGCAACTGATATAAGTAGTATGCTACTATGGAAAATAGCAGATGACAATAAAATACGTAATTATACTAATAAAGCATAAAGAAATAATGAGTTTTTATGCACTCTTGCAAACCAATCAATTTTTGCATATGACCTTTTGCACTAACAGTAGTGAAATGCATGTTCAGTATACATTTTTATTTGTTTTTTAATTACAGACAATCAAATATGGAATCTCCAAATATGGCACTCTTTCGCATTTTAGTATTAGCTGATAAACGAAATTCATACAAAAAATTGTATAGTTTTTAATATTTTAGCCAATAAAAACGGTGAGGAAGCTATACTGATCTTACTTGGCAAACGTTTTTTTTTAATGTAATGTAAATTGAACTATTTATTTCAATAATTTCTTTCAATATCAAGGTGTATCATTTTGACTGTCAGCCACAGTATAATTATTTCAATATTTTAGTGCAATATTCATGATTTGATTAAAATATGAATTTGGAATAAAATTCAAAATGTGAAAAATTAAGCATTTTAAGTAATAAATAACTTTGTTTCCATTCTAAACAAAAAGGTTTTCTTTTGGTTCTTTTTGTCCAGTAACCATCAAAACACTGCGCGAATGAAAATTTCATGGTCAACCGTATAAGATTACTCGAAATTTGAATCAAACCTGACTGTTACTGTTTCTATTTAGATAATTGAAACCTATCTTTCTTTGTCTTGTAATATAGTCAATTAAAATACTTTACATATTATAGTAAGCTGCTGTTTGATTGCCTAGTAAGAAATTAACCATAAATTTAAATAAATTGAAATTGGAAATTTTACAAAATAACTTGGTTAAATTTTACGAATCTCATTGGCATAATTTGTTTGTCACCGTCTTTACATTTTTTATGTCTAAGATTATCATTTATATGGGATAAAAATTATCTTTTGCCAACATAAAAAATTTTTTTTTTTAAACAACTTCATTCAGATCCATGTATTCATGTCCCAATAATACACACATTTATTTTATTCTTTTATTTATTGGTTTAGAATAAAGTTATTAATAACTTGTTTAACCATATCATGATTAAATATTGTAATATGAATGTATATTATTTCTGATTTATTAGTAGAAAAGGGTATTCTTTTACTCTATATTATAAGGTATTTTTGGAAAATATATATTGCCGAGTGCACCATTCATTGAATGGTCAAATTTATGTATTCACAGTTGCTAATTACATAGATGATATTGTACATAAAATTATCAATAAGTGAAAGAAATATTTTCAAAATAAATGACTTATTTTTAAGCGAATTTTATCTTCTTCCAGAGACGTATTTACTTAATATTTCTAGACGACATGAAACTTCCCTGAAGTTATTATAAAATTATGTAATTTTCCTTATGTGTCTCCTAGTGCCTTCCAGATTATTAATAAAATATTACGTTAATAGTCCTTTCCATGTAAATGTGATCGACATCGTGTTTATTGTTAATGTATATTTCTCGTTTATTTTTTATTTTCAATGATCAAGCATTTTTCAATTGGATTGTGATCATTAAATGTATGTGCCCTTTTTTTAAAACATATAGCATATACGTGTTGACTAAAGTCCAGTTATATTTGATCGTTGTTATAAACTCTTTTATATATGTATATCAATATGTTTTTGAAATATATTTTTTAAGAAATTAGACGATGAGTAGTTACAAAATGTGTTAATAATTAAGTAAGTATATCAAACACTAGACTCGTATTGTGTATTTTTAAGATGTGCCAAAGCTACCATTTTGTTTGTAACTACGTTTTACTGATAATTTTAATTCCAGTGGTGCTCTTTAGGGAATAGTTTATATTTTGCAATAATAATGAATTTATGATTGTTATCTGTGAATGAGTATATATATTATTATAAGTATATATGGTTCCATTTGAAAATCAATTCTCCCTGAATATTACTCATCTATTTTTGTTGTCTATGTAGTACATTAATGTACCTCTTATGAGGAATAATAGCAACTATATTGCCTCTTTGTCTGAAATTAACTCTAGTGCTAATTTTATTATAATCAATTCTTTTAGGTGTAGCAAAGCCATTGAACTGTTTCTGGTGTAAAACTGTATAAATGTTTTATTTTCTTTTATTTATTTTTAAGGACAAGTCTTTCATCTGACTTATAGAAATAAATTTATCTAGTAGTTCATGTTACTTTTTTTTTTTAAGATAAAAAATCTAAAATGAAATAAAAAAATATATTTCTTTGTTGTTTTTATGTATATTGTATGAGGCATTGTATTCAAGGGGTATATGAAGTTTGTTTCCGAATATTAAATTAGCATTTCTAAGGAATAGTTGTTTGTCATCTGTGTGAATATTATAGAAGCATTTTGAATAAATCTCTGGTACAGGAGGCTGAAATAAAGAATTATTGTATATTGTACTCTGGTTCTTGCATATTTTGTATATAGTTAAACTTAGATAATATTGACACAGTGTTGGAAAATGAACTTAAGTGATTTAACATTGCCGCTCTCTCAGTGTAAGGTTCATTATATAAATGGCAAATGATTTCATAGTGAAGTCTTTTTATTAGAATTAAGCATCCGAATATTGTCCCTTCATATACCCTTTTGAAAATTCTCAGAATCAAATCGGAATCCTAAAGAGTGATCACATTGATACGGGTTAATAACATAAAACTTAAGTACCAACTATAATGTAGATTCAGTAGGCATTGTGGTAGGAGATAAAAGTACTGTTTTACAATTAATGAAGCTAGTAAACCTCTTAATAAAATGAAATAGCCGAAATTCTACATCAATACAGAGGTTATACATTATAATAATTAAAATTTCCTTTAATGATTGAATTGGAAAATAGTGTTCTGAAAAGAATGCTTATTTTCTTTAAAATGAAGTTACCGTAGAAGCTCGGCTACTCAAAGTACTTGGATTAGTTTTTTGTTGGCATTACTTTTTCCTGTTTAGGTTGCATAACAGGATCGGATATTTATACAACTAAAACTTGATCATTTTAACGAGCATTATTTTTTGTACACATTATTTAATAGTATTTGACTTCATTTAAATATAATATTTGTGAGATAATACTCAGAAATATTTGTTAATTTGTTCCAATAATTAATAATTTTTTTCTTTGATAATATACCAGGCACTTGAAAATTTTCCTCAAAACTAATCCTTTACCTTATGTTGTAAAAAGTTTATGATAGAGTTCTATTTGTTTTTATGAATGAACACAAAGTTCTAAGTTACTTTGAGGGTTGAGGTTCATTGTTTGTAATAAATATAAAGATTAAAAAATGGTTATTGTTATGGTTATAAAGACATGTAATAATCCCAGAGGGATCTTGGTTCCTCTAATATATAGAAAATGCGACTTCAATATCTTTCTGACATATCCATTCATTGTACATTGTGTATTCCTCTGTAGTTGATGAAATTTATCTATGGACATTGGGTATATATTCTGTATCTAAAAAATAAATAATAGTTACAGAATATACCACACAATATTTACTTATATTTCATAAATACCGTGTGTTCATATCATAGGTATAAGATGATTTATTGTTTTTATTCTTAAATTTCTAATTAGTTTCTTTTAAGTAATATGTGTCTAACAGGATTTATTTCTGTTTCGACATTACATGAGCTTGGATTTACGTTTCAGCTTTTTGTTGCATTCTAATGTTTTGTAAGATTGTTATAATTTTATTGTATATTTAGTATTAATGGTATTGAGAAAGCTATTGGCTTTCTCTGCTAAACAACCATGGTAGAAATTTTATTTCTACATTGATTGTTTGAACTGATAGTATCATTATGAATTTTTATTTATGTCTTATTTATAGTACAATTATTTTTTTATTTATTAATATTATGAGCAGCAGGGTAGCTGAGTAAGACAAGCTTACCGAAATAGTACTTCCTTTTAAAGTACTCAACCCAAGACCCTTTACAGGTTGTAGCAGTACAGAGTTTTTTGTTATTATATGTTATTTAGTAACAGCAAGTTGTTTTGAAAGTGCTCATATAGAGATTTATCATAACCTTGATTAAAAATTAAATAATCTGCATTTGATTTTTTGCTTTCACTTTCCTATATATTTTTTAATACTGATTTTGATGGATTTAATTATGAAAACTGGTTTCAGTCTCCTTTATCACCTTAACAGTCTGTGTTTCAAAACATCAAAAGTGATATTTATAAGTATGTATGTACTGCTTAAAAAACAAAGAAAATTAAATGTGTGTAAATATGTGTCTAGTTAAATAGTCAGTATGGACTTTAGCCTGACTGTCATACAAGTTATTTGACATAAATTATTAATATTTTTGTACACTGATGTCAAGTTAATAATTAAAAAAATATTTGTTGTCTCCTTATTTGTTCTTATAATGTGAGGACCATATAATAATTATTAAAAGCTTCAACTCATGTTCAATATATTTATTGTTTTTATTCTAATTTTAATCAGTAGTAACAAAACCTACATTTAATATTATGTTAACAGTATTTATAGAATTAAGAAATATTTCAATTGTTATCCCGATGAATAAAATGTTATGTCACTGTATATGTTTTGAAATAAACTAATTATATTTAATCATAAGGGAAATAAATGTGTCTATTTTATTCCTGTAAATTAATAATATGCTTGATCAGTCTTTGTTAAAATTGGGTATATTAAATTTGAGTAATGAAATGAGTGTCAAATATAATGTTTAATAAGTTTTGTTTTGTATCCTTTCTTTGTTCGCTTGCTGCCTTCTATGTTTTTTAATGTCCACAAGCTGCGTTAAATCTGCCATTTGCGTTTATTCTATTAAGTCTGTTTTTGTTGATAAATTATCTCTTACCTGTTGTGTGTTGCTTTTCAGTTGGAACCGTCCGCTGACTTGAAACCACAACATGATGTGGAAAAGGATAAAAATAATGAACCAAATAGTACGAAGTCTCTACCGCTAAGGTCAACGAAAGTTACCAACTTGAGACCTCTGTCGGAAGTCCTATCCTCGGATTACCAACCGATTTATAAAAGTACATTGTCAAGCAATGATATTAAAGGGGAGGAAAGGCCTAGCTCTTCCTCTTCTACATTACAAAGACGGACAACTACTCCTGAAGATAACGTTGTGTCGGCTCAACCATATTCTAAGTCAAAAGAAACAAAAAAAGAGAACAGATTTTCATACCCACGATTTCATAGCAAGCAAGATGCCACTGATGAAAGGTACAGAGAACATAGCTTCATTGCCACTGGAGAAGTTCCATATAATAAAGAAATGTCAAAATCTTTCCATGAAAAGTTATTTGATAATACAAAACTCAAATCAAATTTAAAAATTGTTAAAGATCCAGATAACAATTATGCATTTGAAGATAGCAGTTCTTCTGTTACCAATGAAGAAGCAAGAATAATAAAAAATAAAAACAGTTATCATAAAGAAATATATCGGGAAAAACCTGGAATAAAACTGGTACCTTTTAATAATAATAACAATGAAACCAAATATGAAATGTACACTGAGTCTTGTGAAAATCTTAATGAAGAGAGTATATTGTTGCACAAGGAAAATTCTTTAAGACCTTCTAATAATTATGATGAAAGTTATTTTAGAAGCCTTCCTACAAATTTTTCCTACCATACTCCTTATAATCGAAATGCTTTTTCCTTGGATGAAACTAGTAGTAACATAAAGAATGAAAAGCAGACATTTAAAGAAGATAAGCGTCATTCTAGTTCTTTTGAAGAACAATCTTACAAAAATTCATCAGAAAGGATGAACGAATCTTTGTTGTCACCAGAAGAATGGGAATTGATAAGAAAATTTAGAGCGAAAGGAAAAGGAAGCGAAGAAGATTTATTATCAGAAAAAGACGATGACTCTATTAGATCAACCAGAAGTTTAGACAGAGCAGCATTGAGGCGAAAACCTCCCAAGAGTGTGAGGTTTCAAGATGTTGAGAAGGATTTACATCAAACAAAATCTATATTAAGAACATCTCTTACAGAAATTCCTTCCCCCTCAAAGGTAGAAGTGACAACCATTCCAGCACCAACCGTCCAAACCAATCCAACAATTTCTTGTAATGTTAACATTCCCCTTCATCTTGTTTCAAGTATGGCTGACCCTGGTGGCGATCGAAGGCATTACTTTCAATATCCTCCAGCCCTCCCTCTCAATGCCAACAATCCTTTCTTACAATCAATGTCTCTACCACCTTTCTATCCTCAACCAGTATATGGCGATCATTTTAGAATTCATTCACCCTCTTATCTCCCAGTTGACAATTCTTCTGCTGCCAGTTCTTTATCGACAGAAGGAATTCAATCGCCAGTTGTCGTGGATGAAGGATCCATTCCACATGCACCTCCTATAAAATCTTTTGAAGAGATATGCAAAGAGTATTTAAACAGAAGTTCAAACCTTCTTTCCACAGATAACAGGAGTACTGTCATCGAACAAAAGCCTGAAATAAACGCTAATTTTAGCCCTACAGATAACAACAGAAACAGGTACTATGACTGCGATCTAAAAAGTGTCCAACTTATTAAAACTGAAATGAAGAAAAAAGGAGAGGAAGATAAAAGAGTAAGGATAGATACAGTACCTGAACCTGAAGCGGCTGTTGTCGAGCTTCAAAGAGACTCTTCTGAATATAGTGATTCTCCGCCTCCTATAAACTATGCCACACATCCCGAGGCATATCGTCGGAAACCTTCTTGGGAACGTATTTTCGAATCTACTCCAGCACTTTGAATTAACAATTTATCTTGTCCTTTCCATTTGTTTATAGTTTTATATAGTTAGTTTTTTTAGAAATCATGTACGTATAATCAGAGAACAAGCCCAAAAAGACCAGTGTTTTTGTGAATTTTTAATGTTAGGTACGATTGTAATTTTACTGAATGTTCAAAAAAGACTTCCAAAATTAAATTTGTTATTGTTTGAATTAATGAATTTTAAAACCAAAAAAAAATTGTAATTGTTTGTATTCCGCCTTTAGGCGACCACTAATAATACCAATGAAGTGAAACCTGAACCAAAAGCTTCTGTTAGTGATAAGAAAAAATTTTTTGAAAAAGCAATGGAAGAGCATAATCAACCTTCGCCTAAACCAGGTATGTAATAATAAATTTAATTAGTGAATATTAAGGTTTAAGATGAGTTGAATTCTTTATCAGAAAAGAGCAAATTAAACAATTGTTTACCAGTTAAATCTTTAACTCTAAATATTGTATGACTAATCAAATATTTTAAAAGTCATTAAACTGTAATATAGTTGAACTTTCATATACAGAATTTTAAATTAAAAATAAAATTAATATATTAAGTATAAATAAAATAAACATAGATTTCTAACAAAAAAATAATATTCAAATGAAATATTAAGTCAGACAAATTAAAAGAATAAGAAATATATAAAAAGTAACAAGATTTGTTGATATCCATATATTAATATAACAACAGGAAAAAAGTTAGTAAGGGTATGAAAGAGGAAAAAGAAGGGTATGTGAAAAAATCACACGACTTCTCTTACCACCCTCTTCTTAGCAGAAATAACTATTTTCAGACAATGGGGAAGAGAAAATAAAAATTATAAACGCTATACTAATTTATATTTCATTGTGGGTATTTGTATTTGTTTAATTATCCTTATATATACACATTTTAATTTTTAGATCACAGTAATCTATACAATTAAATATTAAATAATACCAACAATAACATTTATGAAAACTGCATATGTATATGTACATAATATTATCGGAGTCCGTATGATATTAAGCTCATGTTACATGTGAAAGCCTGTTATAATCTTTTGGGCGAGCTTGTATCCCATTTGGTTCCTCCTTTTCCAGCATTATCTGTTACGATCTTTTATTTCTCCTTTAATTAATTATCAAATTCTTTCATATTTTATATTTAACTATTTTTTTTATTAAAGATTAATGTGAAATGGTTAATTATTTCAAATCTCTAAAGGTACTTTAGAGGAAGCTAATATTGAAAATTAGCCATTTAAGCTCTGTTAGAAAACATCAATGGGAATAAAACCAACATTTTTTTAAAAACTGATTAATAATACACTGATATACTGAGTTAAATCATTTTTTTTTTTTTTTTGTTAGAGCCATTTTTTAGAAAATCATAAGAATATGTTAAATCGGTTATATAAACTGCCTTAATAAAAATTGATTATATAAAAAACCTTAAATATGAAATTTCACTTTCATCCGACTTTGTCCGGGGATTAATTAATACAGTATGACATTAATTGTTTGAAAGGAGCACTATTGATATAATTTATAATGAGGAAATTATATAATTGTAATCATGTATGGTGATGATGTGAACTACCATCATTATACTTTACCCTACTAACCATTACAATTAATACAATCACTTTTTTTTTTTTATGTTGGCCATAAGCACGTCGACCCCTACTGGGTCCATTGTGCGCCAATTTCAGTTAGTCGTTTTGTTTAAAATGTTAATCCTGTCGCTTCAGCGTATCGAAGTAGGCTGATTGGATTGACCGACTCATATCTTCTGGGGAGATCCAAATACAATCACTTACTTACAATGGTCACTTATACACATACAATCAAAATTCCATTGTGCCCTAATTATTTTTTATAGTATATATTAATCTATTTAGTAGGTAGTATTTTTGATGACTGAGCTAGAATATGCTATTAAAAAGAATAGGCAATCATATAGGAGTCCATTATTATTTGTAACAATTTTTAGTACTTAAGTTTTAATATAAATCAAGAAAATAATTTTGAAAGCAATCTACCTATAATTTTTTAAAAGTGGAAACCATTGACTGAATTTTTTTATTAGAAAAGTTTCAAAAAATATCACATCTACCCTGTAGGTCGGTATACTGTATTGTTGGAGTTGAAATTTTTTTTTTTTACTTACGACTATTTTCTCCTATATTATGTGTTTCATCTTTGTAATTCTGGGTTTTATTTATATGTTTTTAGTTCCATAGTTCTATTTAATTATAAAAATATTTCAAGTCAGATAAAGAGTGTCACGTTGAGAACTATTAACTCATTCTCTGTAACTTAATAAAAAAATAGCAATTAATAATTGCTAGAAAATAGTAGCTGTGTTGCTAGACATATCAACTCATACCACATTTGCAAGATAAAGTTTTTTTACAACATTTTTGAGATTAATGGGCAAACTATCTTAGATTTTATAATATTAGTGTTAAATATTCCCCTTCATAAAAAATTACTTACAAAATAAGTTTATTCAACTAAAAAAATATATATAAATTATAGTGAAGATGGATCAGAATATAATAAAATAAAGTTTAAAAACAAAAGTTTACAAATTTCACAAAGAACAGCGACAGTAAACAAACTGGAAATAAAATTCTAGAAATAAAAATGTACTCATAAAAGTAAGAAATTGGGACATTAATATCTTTCAGTTGGAAGCATTATTTGCATTCAGAAAATCAATGTTAGGCTTAATGAAGTTCAACTTGATTCTTAAGTTCATTCAACAAATTTTATCTTTGCTACCATATATTGTATTTATTCATCTTAATAATAATTAACAAAAAAATCAATGGTTGACCATAGTGTAATATTGAGGAAAGATATGGTCCATGCAGGCAGTCATAAAAAAAACAAAATAGGGAACAACTATTTTATTTTAAGTTAACCTTTATCAAGTTAAAAAGACATTATTATCCATGACTTATTTGTGGACCCCCTGAAGTGTTACTATGCACCATACGTACTTCTGTATACCCTGGCTCGCTGAGTGTGGAAACTATCCATCTACAGAGTATGGCAGATTATATTATTTTGGACTCATCCTGAATCACCATCTGTATTATTCCTGGCCACTTCGTTATGAGTTCTACGTACAGTTATGAGAAGGAGGTAAAATGAGGAGAAAAGCATAAAAATAAATAAATAAATTATAACATTCGGTATTTGTGATGATAGTCCCACAAAACTTTATCCTTTTTGTTCTTTCTCATTAGACATTATCTATTGGGACAGATCGGTACGCTGGGTCATTTATTGTACTTCTCTCTCTAAAATTTTATTCTGATACTCAGTGCGGAGAAAGTATTGTTTTATGATTCACTAAATTCAAATGTTTTAAATTATTGTTCAAGAACATTTGACCTACACTGAGAGGCAAAAAAATATTCTTATTATTCTGGTTTCCATTTAATTTATAATTAATATCTTTACAGTCTTTCACAATTAAAAACAACAAAGGTCTAATGATATAAATTAAGAAATATTTAAAATTAGAAATATTTTAATTCATGAATGAGTTAGGTAATATTGACATAAGTTGAAATTTCATTGAACTATTGAGAAATATTTTTATTGGAACAGCATTTAATTTGATTGGGTTGTCTGGGATATAATGCAGGATTTTGAGTTTTCTTTAATTCAGTCTTTACTAAGATGTCAACGCGTGATTTTCATATAATTCTGTTTTACTAGTTTAAACTCCACCAGAAACATCAATCTAGTCTGGGGCGAGAGCAATATTAATGAGTGCACTGTTCAACGGTGGTTCAAAAAATTTCGGGTGAGAGACTTCAGCCTTGAAGACAAAGAAGGTCGTGGAAGGACTTCCTCTCTTGATGATGATGTTCTGTGGGCTTTGTTGGAAGAAAACCCCCGAACAACTCCTTGAGAACTTGTAGAGAAACTTAATCTATGTAAATCGACCGTTGATGACCACCTCAAGGTGATTGGAAAGGTAAAAAAAGCTTGAAAGTTGGGTTCCACACACATTCAATGACTGCAAAAAAAAACCAGTGTTATGAAGTTTGTGATAAACTTCTTTGCCGAAACAAAAACAACTCTTTTCTGTCCATAATTGTTATTTGAGATGAAAAGTGGATACTTAAAGATAACAGCAGACTTCTGGACAGTACCTCGACAAATAAGAAGCAGCAGAACATTTTCCAAAGCCCCCAACTCATCAAAAAAAGATGATGGTTACTGTTTGGTGGGCTTCATTTGGTTTGATACACTACAGTTTCTTAAATCCTTGATAAACCATCAATGCCAAATCGTATTGTAATCAAATTAATGGAATGCGTAATAAATTGGCAATAATGAAGCCATCTTTAATCAATCTGAAGGGGCTCATTTTGTTACATGACAACGTCCGACTACATGTGATGTCACAAAAACTGTTGGAGCTTGGATATGAAACTGCCACATCTGCTGTGCTCTCCGGATCTCTTGCCTACAGATTATCATATCTTTAGACACTTAAACCACTACTTATGTGACAAAAAATTTAATGGACAAAGGGAATTAGAAAATGCGTTTTTGGAGTTTATCAATTCTAAAGATGGAAAATTCTGTTCAGAGGGAATGGAAAAGTTGCCAACACGTTGGCAGAAATGTATTGATAGTAGTGGAGACTATTTTGATTAAATAAAATAGTTGTAAATCTTTCTTTTTTTCTTTTGAAACCAAAATCCTGCATTATTTACAAGACAACCCAATAATTATAATAACGACACTTGAAGTTTTGAATCTCTTTGTTCTTCTTGATAATTCAACCTTTATCATCAGGTTCTAGATTTGGAACAAGGTATTCACTGTGAACATCAGATCTGTGTTGTTGTTTTTTTTAGATTTCATAAAAGTTTGGCCATTTTATTTTGCCTGTCAGTGTGTATGTATGTAGTCCAAATTTCATTTCATTGTATCTGTTATTCAATTGGCCACTGATTCTACCTGATAAATTTTTTCTAGCCAATCAGGAATACTCAGGTAATTAAAAATTAAAATAATACTTCATTTCTACTATTATTAATCATTGTAATATATATTTTCACTGTTTTAATAGTGAAATGGCTATTTCCATCATGTGTTCCTGTCTCAGACTCCAAACCGTCTTTAGGTCATCTTAATACAGCAAATTTAGGTCTTTGGACCCTATTACAGATCTATAGTTGAACAAATAAGAAATTTATATTGAAGCACGATGGTTAAGGGTCTTAATCTATTTTTCATAAGATTTTGAAGCAACAGATTCATTTATCGTCCAGTTTATTTTGAAATCCAGTAGATTTCCTGTGAATACTGTGAATATGAGAACTTCTTGAGATTTTTTTATTTATAGAATATTTAGTTTCTATTAACAATAATAATTAATATTTCTCCCTTATATTTTGGGTTTAATTTTTTTTTTTTTCAGATTGTTTTAATCTACTCATTTTAAATAATCTAATTGGGTTTATATGAGTAAGCATCATTTAATGTTAAGTACCCAATTTGGTTTTTATTAAGATGACCTTGTTTCAAACAAATATTATTTTTCTATTTATAAATATATAATAATAATATACATAAATCTGCAAATATTATTAAATGATAATTAAATCAAAATTATAATTTAGAAAGTTATATGTTTAAAAATAAACCTTCTATTTTACTCTAAATTATAGTATGTAACTAAATAGTGACATTTCGTGTGATGCCTCTAGTAAAATAATTTTGGTAATCCAGAAAAGGTTAAGGATACACTGATATACTTTTTTTCCTTACCAAGTTATTAAGAACATCTATGGATTTATATTTTTACAAATAAATACACAAAACTGACAGAAAGAATATAAAGAAAAACAAATTTTTTTTATCACTAAAGCTTAACTCTGATCTTTTGGAACGGTGGTTTACACTTCATTCATTTCGTGTAAATTGATGTCAAAGTCTCAAACAAAACAAACAAGTTGATACCAGTTGGAACTTGAGTGTTCTTGTAACTCACCAATTTCTGCTTAGATTGGCACAAGAGTAACATTGTACAAGTATCATAAGTAGTCATATAGGTTTTTTTTCTTTTTTTTTTTAACAGTTAGAACCTGTATTAAATTTTAACATTTATTTTAAAATAGTTATTTGAGATGCATACCTTTATCGATGGATATTGGATGGAACTGTTTTTATATTAATTTGATTTATTTAGTATAATAGTGGAAATAGTAGGAGAAGTTGGTTGGGGTTCGGTCTAAGTTTTAGGCTTTCATCAGGGCTAAATAATAAAAGATCTAAATAACAATAATATAATATAACAGTATGAAAATGTTAATGGTACATCAAATATGAATTCATAAACAGTGAACAATTAGATAAAATAATATTATATAAATGAAAAACTATAATATAGGAAGATAAATTATTAGATAAGTATATGATAGTAAGACAAGAATATATAAATGAAATATTATGATAATATGTTTCTTCTACATATGTTTTTCTTTTATCTCATGAATTATTGCTGATCCAATTATTTCTTTCAGAACGAGTTTTCACTTTCCTCAATGCTGATGAGGTTGAAAAGTTGAAACAAGAAGAAGGTAACATTAATACGTATTTTTGTAAATTTATATAAAGTACTTGCATATTTATATATAAGTGTTATACTTAGTAGTATAAAATTATCTAAAACATAATAATTACAAATGGGAAAAAGATTTTTATTTTAATATTCTATTATTGCACTTTTATTTACATAAATACATACAAATCAAATCCAACAGTTATTTTTACCAAAATTAAATATGTGGTCACTGCCTAGTTTAAGTAAGGAATATGAAAATAACTACTGTTTAGAAGAAAAAAAGGCTTTGCAGTTTCTTTTCATTTTAACTTCCTCCATAGCAATCTTTTTTTTTCATCTTTGGACTCTTTAAATCTCAAAATTCGTGTTCATAAGATTTTATTTGCACAAGTACTTCTGATAAGTTAAGAATAGTAATTAATCCTAAAAATAGGATTTTTCATATTCGTTACTTGAATATGATGGCGATGATATTTCAATATAAGTATACAAAAAAAATAACAATAATTTTTGTATCTAAAAGATTATTGCAGTGAACATTTAAAATCAAGAGTTATAAGATTGTTCTTTATTATTATTCAAGTTGTCGAAATCAACAGCTAATAACAGTTGAATTTTTTTTATGATTTAGCTGTGATATTAAGCTATGTTAGACCATTAAAATAATTATCATTTTTAATTGCTATCAATAAGTACACAAGACTTTAGATTGAATATTGATGTAAAATTTTCCCATGCTTTTTATTATTTAATGTGGCTATAATTTTTCAATATAATAGTATTAGGTTGTTTTTAATATATTTATCATTTTTTTCTAAATTTTTATTGTTTTAATTTTATCCAGAAAAGAAAATAGCATCCCTCTCAAGAACAGAGCTCAAAGCTTTATCAAGGTTGGAGGAAGATGGCGATCAGGATGAACCTGAAGTAATTCAAGTGGAGACTGTAAAATCAACAACGTGAGTAGTCTATCTTTTTTTCTTTTATAATAATACTTTATTTATTTTGAGACAAGTCTCTTTAGAATAATACAAAAATACAGAATTGTGGGCTAAGGAGCCTCAGAGATACATAAATAATAATCACAAAATAAATAAAAAAGTGTCAGTAACTTTCTGAATTTAATCAATTAATAAAAAAATAAATTATAAAACATAATTTATAAACATAACACAGTAAAAATAATTAAGAATGATCTAATAATTTGTCTACATATTTACAATAATATATATTTATAATTTTATGGGAGCTGGATGAATAAAAAATGGTCAAACAGGCAGGATTTAAAGGTAGGGAGGGTATTAGAGTGATGGATGTAGGAAGGGATGGAGTTCCACAGGGATGAGGATCAGATAATGAATGATCTGTTGAAAGCACCGGTTCGGTGGGCCGTAGTACATAGATCTGAAGACCTTGAGTTGAATCGAAGATGAATCGAACAAAGCAATTGATCAAATTTTTTAGTTTCACTTTGAGATTCCCAGAGACGCCCCCATATACCGTGCAGCAATAATCATCAATCAATAATATATAAGTGGAGAAATATTAAGGACGTTACTAGGAGCCTACAGGTTTTAAATGGAAATAGGTGACGGAGATAATTTAGATGTTTTAAGATAGAAAAGCTACGGTGAGAGACATTACATGGATCGTTTTTCCAGGAAAGAGTTTGATCAAAGGTTATTCCTAGGTTCTTAAATGAGGGATATAATTTTATGGGATAATCAAGTAGGAACAGGATTTGGATATTCGGAACATTTTTAAGGAGGTGATTGGAGTCTGCTAGGATTGCCTTCTTCTTCTCCGCATTCAACTTCCACTTGTTGGCTCCTGCCCAGTCGCAAATTCTATTTAAATCTTCGTGAAGCTTTTTGTAGCTGATAATAGGTCAGAAGGCGGGAAAGACAGGTATATCTGGAAATCGTCTGCTTAGATGTGGTATTGGGAATGATGGAGAGAGAGAGGAAGGTCATTAATGTACATAGCAAACAGAGTAGGAGATAGAGAGGGACACCACAGGAGAGGGGGAGTGTCTTAGAAAGATTAATCTTGGACAACTACATTCTGCGATCGGTCTGAAAGAAAGGATTTGAACCAACACATGGCACTATTGGATAGAGAAAGATTTTGCAATTTAGTAAGGAGAATTGTATGGTCAACTGTGTGGAATGCTTTGGAAAAATCTAGAAGGATAAGGAAAGTAAGGTTTTGGTGTTCAATTGAGCTTCGGAGGTCATGAGTTATTTTAAGGGGAGTGGATTGTGTTGAGTAGCCAGATTGGAATGGGTTGATGAGGAAACGTTCCTCTAGGAAGTTGGAAAATAGGGAAATAGGACAAATGTCGTGCAGTGAGGAAGGGTTAGAAATTTTATGCTAAGGTCTGACTAGGGCAATTTTTCAGGAAGATGGGAATATGGAGTTTTGCAATGAAAAGTTGCATGATATAGGACAGGAAGACTAGATTTTATTAATTTTACTGGAATATAGTAAGGAGCGTATACTATTATATATGGATAGTTCTATACATAATATTTATTATTATAAATTAAATAATTCCATGGTAGTGTAGAGATGGTTGACCGTGATATAATATGAGAAGGAGTTGGTCGGGGGGTGTGGTCAAATAAATACTAAATTGTTAAAATAGTATTTTATTCACTATTACACCAGTCTATAAACTGCTTTCTGCTGTAGCTGATACCACACCCTGATGAAGACCTACAAAGTGGGTCAAAACATCAGCCTCACAAATAAAATACTATTTTAACAATTCAGTATTTATTTAACCGCACCCCCTTCCCTCTCTCCCCCAACTCCTCAAATAATTTCATGATTTGATATATCATCATCACATCTCTTTACTTAAAATATATAAAAATATACTTAAATTTTATTATTGTAATTAATGGTGAGACTGAATAGAAATTAACTTTTTTTTTTTTGTAGTTGTAAAATAACTGGACAAAAATAATCAGAAAAATTAAATAATATAACTTCTTTAATTTTTTAGGCTGTCTTTCAAAAGAGGCAATAACTTTACATGTACAATATAATTTTTTTTTTTTTTTAGAACATCACCTGGAATCAGAAATATCGATGGACTGTTAAGTATGGGAAGTATACGCACGGCAAAGGCTGAAAGAAGAATGAAGGAAAGATTAATACAAGAGGTAAAAATAGTTTCATTATTATTGTTAACAGTTAGTGGTTGAGCATGTTAAAAATTGCCCATTTTATTCCTTTTGAGTCAAGCAGTCGCGGTTCAAAACTGTTCTGGGTGACATAAATTTCATTTCCTTCATTCATTCTGGACCCACAGAATGAATCTCAACCTTCCCACTCTGGTTAGAATACGTTTAATCATACCTCGAGAACAATTCCACCCAGCAATATGCAAGAAAAGGCCAAATTGGTGGTGAAATAAAAAAAAAAACGTTGTTTTCTGATATATTATCACTTATCAGTTAGATTGGTTTTAATTTAATTGATTGAGTTATTTTTAAAAATAAAGGGATCCCTATTGAGCTATCCAAAGACAATAAACACTACTTAGTACAATAAAACCAGCTGTTCTCCCTTTAACTAAGATAAAAAATAAATCTCTAATGATTATAATAATAACACAGACGAAATATATATCAAATAATATTTCTTAAAATAAAAGAACTACTTTATTTTATTACCACATTCTCTTACAAGAGCTGAATTCTCATTAGTTTATTTTCAACTAAAACTTGATTCATTTTCTGCTAGGGCCTTTTGAGTGACGATGACGAGAAAGATTTGTCACCAGCAGAACAAAGGGCTCGTAAAGCAGAAAAAAGAGCGGCCTGGAGACAAGCAAGGCTCAAGTCACTAGAGCAGGTAATAATTACGCTCAACTGTACTTAAAGATTTTTTTTCTGTAGGCATTACAGAGCTTGTTGATCTTTTGCCATCTTAGCCACCCTTTTCCATCTCTGCCCATCTTGGGCTATTTCTTTCCAGTTATCTGCATGCAGTTATATTGCATCTTTGTTAATTCAATCTATCAATCTGCTTTTACATGTGTTTTTCAGCCTACTATTGAGGCATTTATTGTTATGTAGAGGCTTCCTTATGGGTTGGTCAGAGCTACATGCCCCACCCATCTTGATCTCCTTGCTCTCATAACATAAGATATTGATTGACGAGTTTCTCTTAGCAGCTCTTTATTGGTCATTTTCCCCTCAAATTTGTCAACACTTCTTTCAAGGGTCCTAGTTAGTACCAGATCTTGGAGCTGGCTTTATCATAGCATTATACACCTTTAATTTGAGATTTTTGAAATTTTTTTGGATTCCAATACCTCTTAAAGAGAGAAGAAAGCTCTGTTTGCTCTTGTTATTCGCTGGTCTATTCCTGACCATTGGTCATTCATCGAGATTATTGTGGTGCCGAGTTATTTGAATTTATCTACTCAGGAATGATTTCCCTTCTATCCAGATCTAGTTATTGGAGTGGAATTTTTGGTTTATTATCATACATTTTGTTTTATCTTCATTTCTCTATAGACTGTTTTGCTCTGCTTCTAATGGCAGCTGTGTCATTTGTATATCCAAGAATTTTATGATTCATTCCGACTTACATCCCCCATTTTCATATGATGTTTTTATCACCTTCTTCAGTGCTAGTTGGACATCATCGGTGATAGTCTATCCTCTGCTAGAAGCCTGTTTAAACTTTTAAGGCTTCAGATGCTTCTTGTATTAGGATTCGACATTTAGGGTCATTTGTAGACACCTATGTCAATATCACCCCCTCTTCCCTGGAACTCCCAGTTCAGTCGTGATATTCCAGACAGTTCTATAACAGTTTTTTAAATTGTTTACAATAACAGTTTCCTTTTTATTTTATGTAGAAATTCATCCCTTTAGTTTTGAGAAAGAAAAAAAAATTGATTTAATTTTTCTAGGACGCCCTGCAGGCCCAGATGGTGATTAAGAAAATGAGCGAGATGATCGACAGTAAGAACGTAGGGCTTGAAGATGACGGAGATGCCACCATCATTAATAACAATCAGGCTATTATGGACCATGAGAATAATCTCACCCCTGAGGTATGTGTGCTGTTTATGTCCTTTTAAAACAATAAGTATTTTTAATTTTTCGTAATTTAAGAAAAAGTTATAAAAAATTTCAAAAATATAAATTTTTATATAAGCAGAACTAAACTAGCTGAACAACATTAATGTATTATGTGATATAATACATTTTCTGTTTTATGTGATTGCATTTTGGAAATGTAATGTCTTTTAGCATGCTATCTGTTAAACTTTTCGAATCACAGGTGTTGAGATGAGATGTTGGTGCTGGCTTTCCTTATAACCCTCGACAGCCAATACTAACATTGATTATTATTATTGTTATAATGATAACTCAACCGCTCAACTATATTTCATTTTAGAATCATTTTCTTCAATATTTGTTTGTGTTATTACGCCAATTATATATTTATGTTCTATGTATATTTATTTATTTTCAAATATGAATATGTCCCTCTTAAAGTCATGCTTTTATTGAATGTTGTTCTTAAACTTCTTTCTTTTGATCAAATACCCTTTCTTCATCCTGATGAACTTTATTTTTTTTTCTTTTATCTCTATTCTTTCTGTTCATTACCATTTTTAATTTAAATATTATAAAATTAAATGGGCAATTTCTAGCAGTTTCCTATACCCCACTTTATTTGATTGCTGAGTTTCTTTATAATATCATTCATGCTTAACAGTATTTTATTAAATTAATATTTACATTTTATTAATGCATTGAGCTCTTAATAATTCAAATTACAGTATTGATAGCAATAAATTATTTTCTAAACAAACTCTTAATAAATCATATTTCACAATCCCTTGAAATTTGAGTAATTGAGAATTTTCTTTTAAATTTTAATATTAAAACAATACTGCATAATTAATAAATACAAAAAACTATGATTATAAAACAGTTCAAAAATCTATTAAATAAACAATTAATAAGTAGGGAAAAATAAATGAATAAACATTTTTTTTTTAGTAATATCTATTGTGCAAACTAACTTTTATAATAATTTGATGATAAAAATTAATTAACTCTAACAATTTAATGTGTATCTTGCATAATTGCATGTTAAAACTAACTCTCAAATTAACTTTAAATTGTTACAAATAATACCGTTTTGTGATTTGACTTTAATAGTAGTCAACTATTTCTGATATTCGATTTTTTCCTAAATAAAACTGAAATTAAAATATAAATTTATTATATCTATTTTGTTTTAAGTCCAATTTTTTTCCATTGTGTTTGTTTTATTTATACATATTTTCTCCAAATTCTTCATTTTTCTCTTGAGACCCCAAATCTCTTCTGATATTTCTCTCCTTCAACTATTGGCCGTTATGGTGTTGGGTACTATGGTATAACTAAGGTACTGTGGGGATATGCGCCAGCAGGGGGGTCGCCTGAGGCCAAGTTCTGAAGACTTTCCACGGCTGGAGGTTGTGTCCAGCCCAGGACTGACGAGAGTGATCGAGTCGGAGCGACTCGTCGGTGAAACAGTTACCAGGCGCACCGAGCAGTACACCGATCCAGAGTCCGGTGAACCACGACTGAGGACTGTCGAGATCGTTGAGCGTCTCATCGAGAGAGAGGTAGCCGGCATGTAGGAGCAGCCAGCTGCATGCGGTCACACCAACACGACACAACACACTATAGCACATTTTCAACAACACTATACACTTTTCTCCCTCCAGACATGTTTATTTGTTAATTATTTATCAAAACAGATTGCCTAAAAAGCTTGCTATGGGGCTTATTTATCCATTTTGTTGTCGCTTAGCTATTAGTAATACAGCTTAGGTTTTAATTTTTTTTTAATCTTGTAATATATTGTACTTTGATGACTAATAAAGAAAAAATTTAGCTTATGTAATAATTTTATATAAGAGATGGACAAATAAACCATATAAATTAATTAAAACTTCAGTTAAAGATTAACAATCAACTAAAAGTAGTCATTAAATTCCTATTAATGATTAAATTTAAGTTAAAATATTCCGTACTCAACTGGTTTATTGTAATTCATAATTTATTTTTATCAATTTTAAAACATTATTTTTAATTGTAATAAAAACAACTAATTTTGTACAATTTTATTTATTTATTTTGATTTTCGGAGGATATAAGATTATATAAAACAGATCTTCTGGTTTTTGATCAATTGGGGAAAATTATAAATTTTTACTATTTCAATCAATTCGAGCAAAAGCTCTTTCTTGAGCAACTAATTTGAGAAATGAAAATTTTTTCTGCACATCGATGGGCCTCATTCGTATGAAAAGGACATGATAACATTACTGGTTGACTGGTTTGGATAATGGGAATGAGACTTATATAAGTGTAGATAGTAATTTAGGCCTTTTTAGTCTCTTTTAATAAAATAATTTATTATAAAATTATCCAAATTTTCACCTCTTCAAGCATCTTCAGGGTTACTATCTGATTTTAAAGCATCTTTGTTAAACTGAAAAATATATAAACAATCTCTCATGGGACTTACTAATAGACACTAGTCCATTTATAAAATCAATAAAAACATTAAAAAAGAATTATAACAAGCCAAAAATCTGTACATAAAATAAACTAAACCTACTTGCAAATAGCAGTTCATATTTACACTGATACTGGTGAGAGTTCTGGTACTACTTTTTATATACTAAATTAATTTTATATTTTTGGTATATGAGGAATTTAGAAATAATGTTGACGGTATGATGGTTGGAAAGACTTCCATATGAGAATATTCAAGCTGAATTAATCTTTATGGCATTTTAACTGTGAAATTTTTGTCTTGTTGATAAAATTTTATTTACCTTCATCATTAAAAATTTTCCATTTACATAATTATTGGTAAAATTGATTTAATTTTTTTTTTTTTTTTTTCATGCTGCATCTTACAAATGCATGATATATGATATGTCTATTCCCCATAATGGTAACTAGTTCATGGATGACGATTGACAGATGATATAATAAATATAAAAATGTTTCGTTGAAGATCACTGACCAAGTAGTTATCCGAATAGTTACCATCATATTTTGTGATAGTTTGATGATGATAATAATAATGAATTAATTAACCATGCATGGGAAAATGTTTTAATTCAATTAACCATTTAAAATGTAAATGTCATGTATGTGCTTCATAAATAAGACTTAAATATTTTATTCAAGTGTTACAATATACAGCTATTTATTCATTTTACATTTTTAGCTTACAATTACATTTTTTTAAATTAATGTGGAAGATGTGATAAAAATACTGTTACAATTTTCTCCACATATGGAGTATCACCTCCTTTTATTAATAGAATCTATTCTCTAGGTAGTCATTTTCGTAAGAAGAGAATAAAAACATTTGTCAACAGACAAATATGGTTAATATTAAAAGTTTCTTTTATTTTAAGGGCAGAGTAAATTAAATTGTATTTATTTTAATTTTTTTTTAAATCATTTAACTCATTATATAATAAAGTTCCGTTCCATATGATTTTTAATTAAAATCTATCAATTCATTTCTGTAGTTTATTTTTTCAATAACTTAAAATTAAAACTTATAATGCTCGTTTTCAAATCAAACTTGACAAAAAAATTTCTGTTTTAATTAAAATTACATTGAAATCTTTTAATATGATCCAATCATGTAACTGTAAATACAAGAATAATTAACTATTTAAGTGCTCATTTGTAAATCCTGAACATTAACATAACTTAGAGAGAATATTTTTCCATAAATTAATAAAGAGTTGTAGTACTAATTATTAATTAATTATAAATAAATTACAAAGTATATAAATATTATTTTTAAAAATATTTTAAGTCGTTTTATGACTAATAGAAGAAAAATGAGATGGCCTTTTTAATGTAAGTTGAGTCCCTAAATCCTTCAAGCCAACTTCAATATTTTAGTTTATGAATATTGGTAATAATTTAATGAAATATGAAAATGGCAAATTAAATACAATTTACTATCTGTTTAACAGATATATTAGTGGCTTCATATCAAAGATGGACAACTGTCATTTTCAGAAAGCGGAGAAAAAGTCAATTTTGTTTTATAGGTTCAACTCAAACTGTTTTTGGTGATTTTAAGAATGTTCAAGTTGAAACATGAAAAAAAAAATATTAGAATTGGTTTAAATTGAAACTATGTTACAGAAAATTGGCCTTTTCTCAACTTATAAAAATGGCAGATGTCCATCTTTTGATATGTAGCCTTCTAAATTATAACCTGTAGATATTTAAATTATTGGTTATTGATAGTTTAAGACAATCTGGAAGGGAGAAAACTTATGTTTACGATTTTAAGTCAAAAAGTAAGAAACACGTTTTTAAAAAACATGTCTCTTAACAGTAGCTAGATAGAATTAATAAATTATGTTTTCTTTAATTTATTGTTATAAATGTTTAATGTTCATCAAAATTTTGACCTATTTTCGTACATAATACAGACTAAACACTGGAGAATTGTTTTCTGATTGCCTTGAAATAATGATGCATGGTTGTGAGCATGTTGGTTGCATGGAGTGTGTGTCTTCGGTTGTATTGAGCATGTACTACTGAGTGATTTAATTTGGTTTTATTTATAAATGTTTGTTCAGCGATTACTATTCACATTTCTTCCTGTTTATTTCTTTTTATTATTTAAAATACTTATTTTTTTTTAAATGGTTGCTGAGTTGATTTAACAAGTTTTGTTGTAGATATCAATTTTTTAATATGTTAATTAATCATATTAGTGACCTCATATCAAAGATGGACATTTGTCATTTCTAAAAAGTTGAGAAAAAGTAAATTTTTGTAGCACACTTTCAATTTTAACCAATTCATTCTTACTTAAAATCATCAAAAACAGTTTTAGTAGAACTTATAAAAATCATCGACTTTTTTTCACTTTCTGAAAATGGCAGATGTCTGTCTTTGATAGTAAGCCATAAGTATGTTTTATAAAAATTATAAAACATAAATTCAGAAATGTTATTTCTTAATTTAACACTTAATATTTTTTAAGCTACAATTGTCCTCTTGGGTTGTATGGTTTGTCGATTATCAGACGAGAGAATACAATAGGTATTTGTTTATCTATTACTAACTTATTATAATAAACCTGATTTTCTAGTTAGATTCTTTTATTTAGGTTTCTATTAGGTTCTACTGTTCTTCTACATAACACAGGTCAACAAATTTAAACTTTTTTTGAAGTAACATTAATGAAATAGGTTTTCATAGTCTTAATTCTGAAAATTATAAGCTGATTAGTATAACACTTTCATTTTTTTGAACTGAGTGTAATTGTTCTGTGGAAAAATTATCGAAATATATTACATGAGAAGTCATATAGTAAGAGAAACTTTCACTTTTTTTTTCATGTTCTGTAGCATTATCTCATTTTAAAAACCGACAATAGTTACCTAACATGTTAATGGGTTCCAGATCCCTACAATATTTTTCTATCACTTTGATTTTCTGGAGAAATCCTTGTTTGTTGCATTCTGTTCCAAAATTTCCAGAAAAAAATCCAAAGGGGAACATAGAAAATGTATTTTTTACAAATTTGCTACAAAATGATTTTTGTTATGTATATAAAATATTTCTTATTTGAGTTTGAAAAATATGCCTTATTTTAGTTTTGCATAATTTAATTGAGCAAATATTTCTTTTAGAGATGGGTTTATAAAAATGATAAATAATCAGGATTTTCAGTCTTGATTTTTTATTCAGCTTACCAAGGTTTCAATTCATGCATTTGGATCATCATTAGGCCTACAAATTTAAAATCATATCAGAAATATAAGATTATTGACAATTGTAATTTTCAATTGTCTCTTTAAGCATCTGTAATTTATTTAATTTTTTCAATCAGCAGATTTATAGTATATTGATGTATATCGTGGAACCAAAAATGTCTATAACGGGAGAAGTTGGTTAGGAGTGGCAGTCAACAATACCTCCACCATCAAAAATATTTATAATTGTACTTGTGTGTAAAGTTGATTCTTAAATGATTACTTGAAACCGACTAGAAGCTCTTTTTAAAATATTATTACATGTATAATTATCAAGGATAGATAGATAGAAGCGTTTATTTGTTTATAAAGTACATATCATAATTTTTTTTACATATAATTAAACAATTTATCGACTATGAACTAATTATCAAGGATATAAAGATGATAAAGTCCAGTTTCCAGACCAGAAATACGATAATCTTCAATGTTGAATTTATATTTGTTTACAATTTTATGCAATCTATAACACTGAGCTCACTGCTGTAGGTATTTGATATAAATACTTTTTTCTGTGCTTTAACCTTTCTCTGTTCTGGTAAATCTAATTCTGACAGTCATTATTCGATGGGTTAATTTTTTTTTATGGTCACTACAATACTGCACTACAAAATATAATTCAGAAATGGTTTTATTACATTGAACTTTGCACTCAAACACTGGTAGTTCTTTTCTATGCACTGTTTTTTTTCTTAAGCAAAAAAATTGATAATAGATAATGTAAATTGTTTCATTTATAATATGATTTTAGTAGTTATAGGCATTACATTTTTCTTAGCATTAAGTATTATATAATATAATTATTGTTTCTTCAAAGCAGTTATGCTGTTTATTATATAATTGTTTTCTTTAGTCATTTTATTTGTTTAAAAATATGAAATGAGGTGTTGAAGTTGAGTGTTTTAAAAAATATTATAGATCTTTGGAATTGTAGATCTCTTTTGTAACTAATACTTCCAATAATTTAACTACTAGTTTAGAATTTAACAATTTTAATATTTTTTTTCTCATTATTACTTACCAGTTGGGTTTACTTAGTATCATCATTAGGCACGCTTAGACCAAGGATATCAACTAGTCGAGTTATATCTAATCCATATAACTGACTGAATTTTAATATCAGCTAGGTGGATTAACCAAGACTTGACAAGCCGACTTCCTTAGTATGAGTGCACCTTAGTCAGGCTGTGGGATTTTTCATGTTCTTTGGCTTATCTGTTTGTTGGGAAATTTAATTTTAATCTCCATTGCTTTTTCTTTATAGTATTTATAATATTTTTCCTCTTTTTAATTTTGTAAATTTGCTAATTTAAATAGGTCGAGACTAGAAAGGAGAAAATAATTTCCCTGGAGCTGTCTGCACCAGATGCAGAGGTTGAGTGCGATCCTGATGAACCCACTTCTCCAACGACACCGACGTCTGATGGAGCCACCTCTACATCTTCTAGGAAGAAAAAAAGAAAAAAATCTAAAAGAGGAAAGCATTAGTACTTTTGGCTTAAGAGCCGATTGGACAAAAATAATTTTATTTTTATACAGTTCAATATTTACGTCCTTACTGTCCTATAGCCTACCTTGAACCATATAAATTTGAACTTACACCGTATGTGACACTTGGTTACTGAGGTAATTTTACGACAAAGGTATTATTGGTCAGTATGTAAGAAATCAATTATAAATATGATGAAATTTAATTTATACCTTATACATATTATATAAATATAACAATGTATGTATATATAGAGAGAAAGAGTATGATATAAATAATTAGATATAAGATCAATGTTGTGAGATCATTTCTTTTCTTTTTTTTCTGTGAAGTATGCAGATGTTTGTATATAAGTCACCCGTGAAGTACTTACTTGATGTGGAGAGTTGAGTATCAGTCACATTATCTGCAAAAAGTGCCCAGTTACTGTTGTTTGAACTATTTGCGGTAAAATGTTCCTCCACTCTTGTTTAGTACCTTCTTTTATTTCATCTTTAAATTGAAAATTTGAAGTGTTTATTATTTTATTTTATTTTTTTGTTCTGAGAAAAAGCGTTTGTCATAAAATAGAATTTTAAAAAGAAAAAAAAAGCTCAGAAATTTTTTATATTTTTGACTAACTTTTTTAACTTTTTCAACTGAATATTTATACATATTCAATGCTGAGAAGAATATTTTTTTTATTAATGTAAATTAAACCTATCAATAGGGAATAATGTTAAACTTTCATGTGCATTCCTGTTTTATTATTTTGATAATTTATTTGTATTGTTTGTACATTTATTTGTGTCTTGAAATTTTTTAAATAAGAATACCAGAATGTATGTTGAGAAATCTTAGTTTAGGAATTATCTGGTCTATCTTGGTGCTGATATATTTTTTTTTTTTTGTTTATATTCTTGGAAAAAATTTCAACTTTGTTTTTATTTATTGATTTGTCACAGTTTAGACAATTGTCTGTTTACATTTACTTTGTTATGTTACTATTTTTGTATATGTATTTATGCCAATTTTCATGTATTAATTGTTTAATTTATTATGTATTACTATTACCTGTTATATAGATATATATATAAAATATTATCAAATTTTCTTTTCTCTATAACAATTTCATATTCAACAAATCATTTGGTATTTGATAAGCCACAGTATTACCAACAATTAAACTATATCAAGTATTATGTAACACTTTTGAATATATTAAAAAGTATTAATGTACATTCTTTTCTAATAAATTAATTTTTAAAAAAAAAGGTATTTTTCTTTCAAAACTGACTAGCTTCTAGAACTATTAATATATCAACAGTCAGACTTTAAAAGCCTATAAGTGCAAGTTTATTTGTAAGTATGATTTTAAGCTTTGGCTTTAATATTAAGAAATATAAACCAAAAACGTTACTTAAAACATCACATCTTTGTCTTAGGCATACAATAAAAACTTCAACGGTAAATCTAGTTCATAAAATGAGAAATATAATACATTTTAACATGTTTTAATAACCTATAGGGTTTTACACCTTTAAACAACAACAAACAATAATATATCTCTGCTCTTAGCGGCTTATGCAGTGGGTCTGCCAATATAGTCCCTTCGTTTTTTAAAAGAACTTTTAAAAGTTTAAAAAAAAAGTTATGATTTATTGTTGAAAATTATTGAGTAATTTTAGCAGGAACGAATGTTACAAAGTGCTTCTGCCGAGTAGCAGATCCAAGATTTAATTTTGGGGTGCTGAATTACTAATTAACAGTTAGTATTACCCTATAATTTTTAACAATGAATCATTTATAATTTCTTTATTTTTGAAGGGACTATAAATGTATGTATATGTGTATATATATATATATATATATATATATATATATATATATATATATATATATATATATATATATATATATAAATATATACATATATATATAAAGATAATTACTTTGGAAAAAGAAACAAACCAACTACCTATATGAAATTATTCATTAAGGCAAACACTATTAAAAATAATATATATATATATATATATATATATATATATATATATATATATATATATATATATAACTTGAAGGAATAATTTTTACTTTCACTTACTATATATGTAATATACAGTAAGGGTAAGTCTTGCGATCATAAACAATCTTCGAATCTTAGTTTTCAACAGAAAAATACGTTTTGAGGTCCACTGAGTCAAAATAACAAGTCCCACAAAATGGTCTGTGTGTGTGTGTGTTTGTATGGTGGATGTGAACAACCTAGTAGCTCAAAAACGAAAAGTCGTAGGGAAACTGAAATTGCCTATTTAAGGTTTTTATACACCTGATATGTTACAGCAACATTTTTGTCAAAATCGGCAAACCTTAAATGGTACTTTATAACAACAATATTATAAATTTTTATGATTTTCACAAAAACAGCTTTAACAATTTTGATTAAACTCAGTATATCAGTGTATTATTGAGTGGTATTTAATATCAGCTAGGTCTTATCCCCTTGATGTCACTTTGCAGGGCTTAAATGTCCAATTTTCAACATGTCCTCCTCTAAAGTACAATTAATTTGGTTTATTTTAAATAATTGACTATCTCTCATTGTTAGGCGTTATGAAAAAAGGCTAAATAAAGCTTTTGAAAGAATTTGATAATTGAATAAATAAGAAAAAAAAATGCTTATTCGGGTCGAAAATGAATCTTCGGAAACTATAGTCAGAAGGTATACGTGTAATATATCTTTGGAAAGGGGAGAATTAAAAAAAAACAATATCTAATATAGGAAGTAGTAGAAAGTAATGGAGAGTTACGAAAAATTATAAATAATAATTTTTGAAAACTAATATTGTTTAACATAAATCACATGTTTCCAAGAAAATTAAATGAAATTTCTTTTGCAAAATTTTAAAATTATTTTTAAGTTAGAAAAAAAATATTCAAATCCACCAAATCAAGACAATGTTATTGTTTAAAAAACTATTTCATTGTACTTGTGTGAAAGAAGAAGTGAAATGTAAAAACATTTCATGAATGTTTATTACCTTAAATACATTTATTGTATTTAATAACATCTTATATTACATTTAAATAATTAGGCATATATTGTCTATTTATTCCAAAACAATTTTCCTTTGTGAAATCACATTATACGCTTACAATTAGTATAACGATTTTTGACCTATAGATTTATTATTTATAATTTATATTTCATTTTATTAATCTCGTCTTGTTGATGTTTTCACTTCTATCATTTTGTCTAAAGCACATACCTTACAAATAATACACATAATAAATGAAATTTTAGGAGGGAAATTGTGGAAAATTATATTTATTAATGAAAATTATTTATTTATTAATTTTATAAAATTGATGTGTATTTTATTAATGTAAATAATTTATAAAGCATAAATAAATATAACAATAAAGGTGGCGACACGGATTCAGACCAATTCTTGGTCCATTAGAGCAATGTTGAATCTTAAATGTTTTTGTCAGATCAAAGGTGGGATTCGTAGTACTACGATTTATCTCGACTGCTGTTTAAAGGTGGGAGTCGTAGTACTACGATTTATCTCGACTAGCATACTTTCATCAAGATTTCCCACCTTTAATGTGTTAATACTCCCATGATCCCATAACAATAATACTTAAAGTTAAAAAAAAATGATTTAGTGCTCCTTGATATATGTAAAATCAATATTGGTTTTAACTATACATTGGTTCTATTTTTTATTCATATTCATTTTTAGTATAATTTGATTTGCAAGCACCTAGAGACCATCATGAGAAGAGCAAGATTAAATAACAGATGAAGAATATTCCACAAAATGACCCAACTACTCGCGTATGCTGATGATGTGGTGTCATTGCAGGGCTATCACTTCAAGCAGTGAAGAGTGCATTCAGTAGGTTGGAGAATGAGGGAGGAAAAATGAAGATATACGTCAATGAAAGTAAAACCAGGATCCTCGTTTTAAGGAAGAAAAAAGCTCGTCCATCCACCACAGCACTCTGTGCTGGAAACCATATTTTTCAAGCTTCACCTACCTCGGTTCCAAAACTAAGGATAGCAATAACAAAAAGTAAGAGGTAGGAGCTAGAATAAAGGCTGCCACAGAACGTACTTTTTCCTATTGAGCCTTCTGAAAAGTAGGTTGTTGAGTCGAACAACAAAGTTTAGGATATACAAAACGATTATTTGCCCAGTTGCAAAATATGTTTGCGAGATATGGATTCTAACGAAGGCATCTGCTGAAGGAATAGATCGGTTTGAAAGGAAAATTCTAAGACAGATAATAGGACTTAAACTGGAGAAAGGAGTTCTCCGCTTGAGAACAAACAAAGAGGTATACTCAATGTATGGTGATCTGTCTATCTCCCAATTCGCTCGTGTGCAGCAAATGAAAATGAAATGGTTAGAACATGTCCTGAGAATGAATGAAGTGATGACAGCGAGAAAGCTTTATCATGGGAAACTAGAAGGAATTAGGTGTAGGGGAAGACCGAAGGCAAGGTGTATAGATAACGTAGAAGGTTAGAGATAAAATGGCATATCCATCGCGCAGACAACAGAGATGACGGGGCGAAGGACATTGAGCAGGCCAAGGAGCGCTATATGCGTCTGTTGCACCAATAATGAATGAATAAATAATCGATATATGATACATGGTAAAAGATCAGGGTGCTATGTTTATATGAAATCCATATAATGTTAGTTTAAATCAAAATCTATGCTCTAAATTAGATAAAAAGAAAGAAATATTTTTTTATTACTTGAAAATAAGCTTCAAGCAATTGATAAGCTTAAGAATTTCATACTAATTTAGAGATGAGTATATAGTTGATTTTTGAAATTGTAAGGATGAAAAATGGTCAGGATATGTAGTCAAAATTTTCTTTATTGAATTTTCCTACGTTTTGACCCAAAAATATGACTCATCATCAGGGAAATAGATTGAAGGCTGAATGAGAACTCTGATTTAGACAATGGAGAGATAGTTCTTGTCCGGCCTTCAAGCCATTGCCCTTATGATGAGCCACATGTTTGGGTCAAAACGTCGGCAACATCAATAAAGAATTTATTGACTCACCTTCCTGACCACTTTTCATACTATGAACAAGATAACAAAAATAAATGATAGAATAACTGGAGATAAGAAGGGAGGTTATATGATGTAACATTAGATAACAAGGTAGGTTTCCTTGGAACCAGCTATTTAAGGAATATCCTTTTTTTAATTCATGGACAAGTATTAAAACTGTATTTTTAATAGTATCTTCATTTTCATTCGGATTTGGTATTTATTTTTGTGAAATAACATAAAATATCAATGAAACCTTTTCTTCAATTTGATATTTCCTGTTTACTTAGCCTTGATAGTGACCACTGCCTCTAGCTGCTTCTGCAACTGTTTCTAAAAACAGACAAGAGAGTAAATTGGCATTATATTTTCTAAATTTTTTTATATAGATTATATTTTTTTAAACATTTACAAAAACACATTTGATGATGAGAAGTAGCAAGGACTTAGATATTAATTGTCAAGTAATCACAAAAATGAATTATGAAATTTAGACCATTGAAACATTTTGATGAGATTCTAAACTACTTTTCAAACTTTAGTCATTTGTTTGGTCATTGACCTTGATATTAATTATAAAATAACAACTATTCTTGTTCGTTCTTCCTTCTAGTTGGCTTAGTCGGAAAGTAAAAAAAAAAAATTGGTGGTCCTCCTGACTTAGGAACAGCTTGGTCCCAAGCTCTGTTGGTTGGAGGCATATCTGCCTCCGTATGTCCTCCACCAGCTGGCAGCAATTTCATCACAGTTATGTAATAAATACTACATGAATAATAATATTATTGATTTTTCAGCACTTAATCTTTTTCAGTCTTATGCAAAACAATTACATAGCAATGCTAATACATGCATATTAGAAAATGAAATTATTGAAGGAAGTTAGTCGACTGTTCTACGTGTCATAGGTGATAAATATTCAAGACGCAGTCATTATAAAGTTTTTATTTTTGCCAAAGTTTTAACCCAAACATGTGGGTCATCATCAGGGCATGTTTCGAGCACTGATGATGACCCATATGTTTGGGTTGAAACATCAGCAAAAATAAAAATTTTATAATTACAGCGTTCTGAATATTTATGACTCAGAAAATACAATTTAAATTAATTTTAAAGGAAGGAGATGGTCCGGGGTTGCGGTCATAAAAAGGCTAAATAGTGGTAAAACTATTTTATTGAAAGCCAACGTTTCGACCCGACTTTGCAGGTCTTCATTAGGGAGGTGTGTTCCTCTAGGATTTTCACTTAGAACTGACCAGACCATCTCCTTCCTTTATAATGCAACGGTCAACTATTAAATATTCAATATGACTCAAAAACAACGGGGCCAACAACGGCCAGATACATACTTAGCACCACTTCGCCGTCCGGACCATCTCTTTCCTTTATAATGCAACGGTCAACTATTAAATATTCAATACAAATTAATTTTAACTTTCAGTTAGAAAAAATCCTGTTCCACTACAACCCATGATGGGTCTTGGACTCAATACTTTGAAAGGAAGGCCTACGGTTGTTGTAAAAGGAGATTTGGCCAGAATCATGCTCGACCTCAAGGTTTGCCACAGATTTATAGTACCCAGTTTATATAAGTTGGGTATGCCTCAGGTGGGTTGATCCATGACTGAAATAATTATTTAGCACAGCTGGATTCGAAATCAAACCTAAAAGAGGAGCACAGTTCCACACTTACTGAGATAATCCAGTTCTCCAGCACTTTTAGTAAGAAATAATTTTAAAAAATGAATTTTGAAACTTAGAATGTAAATTACAAAAATGGCACATTTCATTAGCACCACTGTTTACTATTTTCATGGCTAGGATATCACACTTTGATTGGCTTGTACATAAACATTTTTTTTTTTAACAGAATCAATCTCATTGGGCATTCTTCTTTGGACTGATTATAAAGTTAATATCATCAAGCCAATGAAATTGAAATAACTTTTAATATTCATTTACAAGTTTAAATTTTGATTAAAATAAATTTATGTTATAAATATGCATTGTTAAATACTGTCCAGATCTCTCATTATGTTTCAAGAAAAAGTTGTGATCTAAATGACTACCAAATAATAATTAAGGGCAATGAACCACTAATATTTACTTTTTGATCGAGCTTCAAGTTTTCCAGTCTTTGAATTTCTTCCTGGTGAGGGCCTTCTGCATTTTTCCTACAGACTGCCATAGCTTCTTCTTTTTTCTTTGTTATTTCCTTTAATTCGTTAATTTCTTTCATCTTCTTATCTTTTTTTCCTTTCAATTTCCGAAGTAAATATTTCAATTCATCCCTGCGTTCAACTACCTACATAGTTTATACAATATATTTAATGGAATACTTTTTATTATTTATTTATGACTGGTCATAGATACTTTACTGATAAAAAAAAATTAAAAAGTAGTTGATCTTTAAATAAATAATTAAAACTTACAAATAGAAATAATGAAATAGAAAAATTTAAAAAAAAGGTATTACGAATTTTACAGATTTGCAATATTAGACTTCAAAGAAGTTATGAGATTGTTTTTACATCTTTTAAGTAAATGGATCAGTATGCTTCGAAACTGGATATGAAAAATAAGTTCAATTACTTCTACAGTTTTTCTGTATATGAATGCTATGCTGTTCTCATACATCTTTTTGTAAAAATCTTGCATCATCCATATTTCATCTCTAATGCGAACAAGTAAGGATCCTTGCTTAACACAGAATAGTGTTATTTGACGCGTTAATTCATCTACAAAACAAAAAAGTAAAATTTACATTTATATTTAACCAATTAACCTAAGCCAGTAATTGACCACATAATAGATCTATAGAAAATCTCTTTATATTACAACAAAGTAGCACCCTAACAGTTTCAGGACCAACTAATATATAATAAATAATCCATAATAATATTAGTATTCATTCTCATCTATGTACCAGAGAGGTCTTCTAACTTCAGAAACAATCAAGGGTTGACAAAATTGATAATAAATTTTGTAATAACCTGGAAATTAATCTTGGAAGTAACATTTTTGGATATGACTTAATGTGTTGTCACTTTATCTCCTTCTGTTTTTATGTTTCAGGGGATAATGGCTAATTAATTTGAAATCATTTGGACTTTCACACCCTGAACTAGAATACTCAGAAACTAGTCTGGCGATTGCACCTAGTGTTCCTTTTTACCTATGTCAAAAGTTGCTGTTTTTTTAGGGTGTCATATTTTCACGAGGAAATGAATTTCGGGGACACATATTTTCAGAGTAAAGAATTTTTGGAGCGAACCACATTTATGGGTTTTCAATTTTTAGAAACTTTTATTCCAGGTAAAAAAAAGAACAGGAAAGTAATAAAATTCCTTGAGAGAGGAAGTGGTTCTTGAGCCATTGCTCTTGAGGCCACTGTAACATGTTCATAAGAACTCATGTTATTATATAAGTTCATTTTTATATATGCTTGAATGAAGTTATTACCTTTTTGGAAAAAAAAATATATAATAACATAGATATACTTGATTCGTACTGAATAGTTCTTTATAAATATGCTGACGAACATCACAGATTCCTGTATCTCTGATACAGTGTTCATTCAGAACCAAGTCGAGTTCTTCAGACAGTTTTATGACATCCAACCGATTAACTGGTATTGAAGAAAGCTGTAGTAAACAACAAATCATTAGATTTTAATTTCGAAATAACTTTTATTAGAATATTATTAAAATAATTGTTAAAGATATTCAGTATATACTTAGAGATGTTTTAACTACATAAAACTTTTTTAAGCAAATCAAAAATTTATTTTATTTTTTTTTTTTGTAACTAATGTATCATAAATGTATTATCAGAAATATCTTAACTGGTCAAGAGGAAAATTAAAACTTTTCAGGGAATTAGTTATAAAAGTTTTTAACATGGGCAATCAAAGAACTATTTCCAGAAAGATATATACATTGGCCAGCAAAAGTTTTTATAAACAAACTGATAGGAAATAAAAAGATAAACAGAAATAATTCTTTTAAATGTTTCTTTTTTATTTAAATGTTTAAATATAACTACAAAATCACTATTACCAATTTCTTCAAAAAAATGTTGCCTAACATTAAATAAATATGTTTAAAATACAAATTTAAGTCTAAAATACGGATAGAAACAAAAAGTTTCATACACAGTTATATCAAACAGTAATTTATTTTACTACGAATGTTTTCATACTTTGAATGCTGTCCTTTGCTTTTGAGCATTGACTGGGTCAACTTTGAAATCAACTGGGATGGTATTTCTTACCATTCTCCAAAACAATTTAGATTTAATATATTTCACTGATGTTTTGATTTTGATTTGTGAGCTGTTAATCGACATAAGCCATGCATTAAAATTCTTATTTTATACCTTAATTACATCTATTGTAAGGCAAATATTATTAGAAAATTGATAAAAGTGGTATTGAAGTTATAATTGAGTATTTAGATTAAAAACAAAAAAGTATTCAGGAAAGAATTGTTGTAATTAAATTTGTTTAAGTCCTATCAGTTCATGCCTCAAGACTTTTGATAGCCATTGTAAGTGTATTATCAGAAATATCTCAACTAGTCAAGAGGAAAATTCCAACTTTTCAGGGAATTAGTTATAAAAGTTTTTAACATGGGCAATCAAAGAACTATTTCCAGAAAGATAATTCAGTCAAGTTATCTGCTTCTCCAGTATCTTTTTATTTATTAACATTAATTATGTAGATGTAAAAGAAACTAATTAAAAAAATGTTAAGCAGCCTTTAAAAAAAATAGTTATAGAAACAATAATGTTTTTAAAAATAATTGTTTATATATTTTTTCTTGAGATGTACTTATATTCAGAATCTGTAAATAAATTATAATTTAAGAAGAGTCACATTATGATTGTTTGATTATTTAGCACAAATCCTTCACAAACAGTAATTTATGAAACAATTTTGTTTTTTCTATTTTGGAGGGGAGCTTCTACCTCAAAACATCACTTCCTTACAGTGATTCTGTCAGTGATTTTTGGTGAATGATATTGAATGAACTCTCATTACTCATATAAATTCTTATATATATATATATATATATTTTTTTTTTTTTTTTTTTTTCTGTTGGCTCTACAGACCTTGTAGATCTTTGGCCGCCTGAACCAGCCTTCTCCACCTCTGCCTATCTTGGGCTACTGCTTTTCAGTTTGGTGCATGAATATCTTTGTTTATCCTATCTATCCATCTGGTTTTGGCCTCCCACGTGGTCTCTTGCCTACTACTCTGGCATTCATTGTCGTGTAGAGGCGTCCTGATGGATTACTACCAGCTACATGCCCTGCCCATCTTAACCTCCTTGCCTTCATGTCATGAGATATTGACTGTCCCGTTTCTTTCAACAGTTCTTTATTGTTCCTTCTCCTCCATGTGTCAAGGTATGAACTCTTATATATAACTATATAAACTCATATGTAGTTCATAGCAGAGAATGATTATGCACTAATTTAACCTCAATAGATAAACAAAGGGAACAAGTAATGAAAAGAATAAAAATAAATCAAATATAGATTTCTTTAAAAAATATTTGGCCTTCAAAGGTATGTTTAATGATGGTAGCAAGTTTGTATATTATTGTTCCAAAAGTGGGGAGGTGGAGGATGATTTGTCATATGTGGTATTAACTTACACGTTTTATCCAAAACTGTCCATCACCGTACCATTCTTTTGGATCACAAATTTTATCTAGAGTTTTCTCCCTGTCTCCTTTACCCTGAAATATACGAAAAATTTAACGTTATATTATTGTCAGGTCCATCGCACCACGCACCTTTTTCAGGAGGGCGCATGAGACGGGGGGGATAAAAATTAAAGACTGTTTAATACTAAAACTTAATTAAATATTAAAGCCTAAATAACAGTATTTATATATCTATCTCCATTTAAATATGAGAAAATAGTTTTGTGAAAAAAAATATTTATAAAAAGTATTATTGTTCGTCTGATTACATATAATTGGACTTCAGGAATCAATTAAACACCATTTCATATAGGTAGTTAGTTTCTTTCTTTTTCTTCCAAAGTAATTATCATAATATATATTTTTTAAAAAAGCTCTCCGGTTGAAGCCCCCAAAATTAAGTCCTGGATCGGTTGGAGGCGTCAGATAAACTCTAGTCCCACGATGGACCTGATTATTGAACGTTTGTAGAAAATTGTGATAACATTTATCAAATCTTTCTTATTGCCCAACAGCCGAGACGAAATTTTGTGACCTTTTTAAAGAACCCGTTTTATCCTAAACCATAATAATGCCCGTCCTCAGCATTTATTTTGCACTAGCCTGCCAACTCAAATCTAAGGAATTTCAAAATGGCACCCTTTGAAATTGGGCAAATACGTAAAAATTTCATTATTCGAAAATGATTTTTTTTAAAAGTACTATTACAAGTGTCCACTTTGACTTTCCTCCACTTTGACTGGTGGCGTAAGATCTCGTGATCACAACACAATCGGGATCCCGAGAATAGTCGAGTGTTTCTGAAAGTAGACAGAAATGACCGCATTATTTGATAAATTCCCAATCTCTACTGAAAATAACCCACCGGGGAGTCATTCATCCTGTAAGAGCGAGCGGGAGCCGAAAAAACGACATAATTAAAGCTAATTAGCTCTCCGATTTTTAATTAACAGAACCAGCTGTGAGTTTGCCGAAGTCGTGAATCGCAATCTAAACAAAGGGAAGTATACTCTGAGCAGTTCAATCTTCCGCTATTCTCAGAATCATATTTACAGCGTGATCATGAGATCTCGGTCCACTCGTCAAATTGGAGTGACACTTGTACAGTGGTACCTTTTTAAAGTTAACAAGAAATCCTCACCCACCAAATGCCATCGATGATGGCAGAGGACATTTCGGCGGCAGAAAAAAGAATCAAAATCCATTGCTCGATTCCGTCTTGGAAAGATATAAGGTAAGTTTCATTTGCCAGACGTACGGAATAAATCTCTACTTAATAGCTTTATCTGAAATGGGTTTGTAGTCTTCATGATAAATCGCACTTCCTGTCGTAGTTTCTGTAGACAAGAGCGTAAAACTTTTAACCAAACAATAAATCAAATAGCCTATAATCTATTTTACTTACATTGCCTTTTTCCTCATTGACCATGCTTGCGTTTCCCCATTTTACTAGAGATATATCTCTCCAATCCGGATTTTTCCCTTCAATATAGTCCATAAATACTTTCAATGATCTATAATGCAGATATGCAATCAAATCTATACGAATTTCGAACGTATCCACGGTAACGAAAAAAATATACAAAATTTTATATGCTAATTTTTGTTTAATTTTTAACACGAAAGGGATCAAGAATTTTCATGTGATGGGCTTCGGCCTCATGAAACAATAACAGTGTTAATGATTTATTAATGTGCATGGTCAAAGAGACGTGTATCATTCAGATATCCTTAATGCAGGTTGAAAATGACAAATTGCTTAATGCAGATGTTGAATGTCCTAACGAAATTGTTGTATCCAGCGTCGGCCTCAGGGCGGGGTTACCGAGGCAATAGCTCCGGTCGCCGACCATCAGTGGCGCCCGTTAATTGTTAAGAATTTTAAAAATATTGGGTTTGCAAATAAGTCCTTTCAGTTTTCAGGGTGAAATAAAACTCAATGTATTATTGACATAAAATTTATTTTAATCTACAATATATTGGCCACTATTTAATATGACATTTTCCCATCTTTTCACTAACTGCATACTGTCATGATCATAGAATGTCTGGAGTTTATTTTTAAAAAACTGATCCAAGTGGTTTTTGATGTCCTCTTCCGTTTGGAATTTCTTTCCATTCAAGGAGTTCTGCGGAGACCAGAATAAGTGGTACTCACTTGGTCTGGTGAATAGAGAGGGTGGGGCAAAATGTCCCAACCAAGGCTCAATAATTTATTGCGAGTGACCAATGAAGTGTGGGGCCTAAAGGAGAGGGGGGAGGTGACGTCATTGCCTGTAGGCACAAAATGTCTAAGGCCGACACTGGTTGGATCCGATTAAAGGATGTTTAAGGCCAGACTGAACTTAATTTAGTGTACTTTCGTCCAGATGCTAAAAGTGTTATTTCAATTAACCATATTTTTTACTAATGGGTTCTGATAAAATGTTATTCTTTTTTTCAATGAAGATTTTAAAGATTTCTCAGTATTCTCATAAAACACTCTTCACAATTTTTAGGTAAAAAAAAAAAAAAAAAAATGGAAGTAATCTCAGTTCAGTAGCTTCAATAATAATGAATGGCTAAAATAGTATTTTTTTTGCCAGAGATGAGAGAGTTCTTTTAATTCAGACATTCTGTTTACCTTTTATGAGCAAGACAGTTAATGGAGAAAGAAGGTAAAAACGGAACATATATTCGTCCCATGAAAAATCCTGGAAACATTGAAATAAAGTGCCTAGAAGTGCGAATGTCTCTTCTAAAGTGGAAGGTCTGGTTACAATAAATGTATATATGTAACTTCTTTGAGGATTTTTCATTTATTAATTAATGCGCTATTCTCTCCTGCCTATTAGGCTATTCGGGTTTTAAGCATGACTGCATAACACAACATTACTTCAAGTAAAACGGCATGCAATATTCCTGCGCTTGTTAAATCTTCGGTGGTCTATGATTAAGACTGATTTCCATCTTCTGGTGGTCTTCCTAGCACTGGCCTCTTCTCCTTCTGCAGATATCTGTGTTGAAGAGTGAAGGACCGCTGCCGCCTTTCAGCCATAAATGATTTTCCTGAACCGCGAGAAGTTCTTTTTATTCACCAACCAAGGAAATTCTACCTCAGTGAGGACGTAGGTTTCTGTGGTTCTCATCAATTTGGCTCATAATCCATCGATGCAGATTATGCTCAACACCCTCCGGAACAACAAGTGGAACATTGGTGATATCTTAGCCAAGGCTACGTATGTTGGCTTGGAAACTCATACCTAATGATGAATCGTGAAGCTCGGTATTCCATTTTACATCAAGCTGAGATTGTGTGGGGACTAAGTATTTTATAAGGATACTTATTCCTTTTGATTTCGTCACCCACCGGCGGCACTATCCCTCAATCAGATCCTAGTATAGATGGATTACTTTCTTCCAGTTGTTGGTGTCTAACATATTTCTCACCCATCGATTTTTCATGACTCATTTCAAGTCTTCGTTCTTGAACATCTGTTTGGTTACATCTTCTCGCAGGAGTTCTAATGGTACCGCCCTCACTAGGCCTTGACCGCTTAATGTTAGGTTGTTCTACATGCTCTGGTGACACTTAGCAGAGCCATACTCTAGATCGACGCCAACCTTTTTTCCTGACGCTTTGTGAGGTTTCAGTACCTTCTTCTTCTTCGGTGCTACGATCCACGAGGGACCTTGGTCTCCTACACAATTCTTCGCCACTCTTCTCGGCCTGCTGCAGCAGCTCTCCACACCAAGTCTTCTCAAATCCGTCTCTACGTCATCTATCCACTGGGGAGGTGGCCTGCCTCTTCTTCTCCCTCCTCCAGGTTGTCCATACAGCACTTTCCATGGTGCCCTTCCCTCCGGCATTCTCTCCAAATGGCTCAGCCATCTTTTGTTTGTGAAGACTCGTAACAATGATTGATTTACAAGTTTAAGTACCAGAAGGGAGGTACATACTTCAAGATATCTAGTTCAACTACTTGCTTTTTTGTGGATGATCAATTCCACAAGTGCAAGAAGGGTTAATATTCTATAAATTACCATAGTATCCTAGTTAAAGTGGAAATTAAAATATTAAGAAACAAAAATATTATCATATATGAGTATCTAATGTCATCAGACTAAGCGCATGTTGAGCAGACTAAGTGCTGTTGAATTTAGGGATGGACATCTTTAAAAGAGTTTGCATTTAATAAACCCCAAGCAATTAATGGTCTTATATTTTAAATTTTTTATCGTTATGCCAATAAATAATAATAATAAAATTTCAACTGAAAATCGGCGTTATTACTTAATGTGTTAGTAAAATTATTAAGTAACACGCAGACCGTTTTTATCAACACTGCAGAATGACTAACGGAGGCATGATGGGAGTTTATATTTTACAAAGTATGGTTTAATTAACATATATAAATTGATACTTCCGAGAAGTTCGGAGTCAAACTTTTTTTGCATTTAAATAATTATCACGTGAGGATTCAATAAAACTTATTACTTTTGTGTGTTAATTTGGAAACTTTTTCGTGAGTCATTATCGAACATTTTTCTACTGTGTATCTATTTCAATTTGACAGTCTATGTTTCAGAAAAATATCAATCGATTTTGGCTCTTACGCAATTCAATAATTGTAGTTATTTTTTAAAAATTGATATTACTGTGATGTGTTGTTCATATATGTCAATAAAATTGAAGTGTCAATACTGGTCTCACTGAGGTCATTGGATTTTTTCTTTTAGTATAGATTGCCTCTAGAATTAAAAAAAATGTCTTCTGGACGCCCTATCAAATGTGTTGTGGTTGGTGATGGAACTGTTGGAAAGACATGTATGCTTATATCATATACAACTGACAGTTTTCCAGGAGAATATGTTCCCACTGTGTAAGTGTTTCATTACAACTCTTGCTTAATCTCTAAAATTTCAAATTTGTCAAAGTTATGTGTTAACTTGTTTATTGCTCTGCAGATTTGATAATTATTCTGCACCAATGGTAGTAGATGGAATCCCAGTCAGTTTAGGTTTATGGGATACAGCAGGTCAAGAAGACTATGACAGATTAAGGCCACTTTCATATCCACAGGTAACGGAATATCAACTACTATTTCATTTTATTTGGTATCTAATCTGAACATCGTGTATCATTTCTGTTCTCTTATTAAACTATAACATTGTTTTCGTTTTGTTATAATTAGTGAGGCTTATATTTTAGCGTGTCAAAAATATTTTCTTATTAATATATATGAGGTAATGTTTAATTTATCATTTTTAGACTGATGTGTTCCTCATCTGCTTCAGTGTCACTAGTCCATCTTCTTTTGAAAATGTTACTTCTAAATGGTATCCTGAAATAAAACATCACTGCCCTGATGCGCCTATGATTCTAGTCGGTCAGTAAAAGTTCCCTCTTTTTTTTTTAGTGTAAATTTTGTCTTTAGTATTTAGACCAGTATTTGTAAAGCTCATTTTTGGCTTTGAAATTCATTATCAAAATAATTATGTTCTCTGTTTCAATACTATTTCCTTGTTATTAATTGTCTGTAATGTCCTTATTTCTCTGAGGTTAATATTCTTATTTTATATGATATTTAACAAACTAAGTTTCCTCTCTTTGTAGATTCTGTATTGTTCTATTTGTTTATTTTTTTAAGTATCAATTAGGTTAAAGCTAATTGCTTATTAGTATTATCTAACACAGAGGTCTCCAAACTATGGCCGCAAGCACTACCAGTTAGGTCTGCAAAAGTTTCTTTGATTCCATGGTAAAATTTTAAAAACTATTTAAAATATATGAAATTTAGCAAATTACTCACACTAGAGGTTACTACAACATTTATTGCATGTTTTTATTCTAGAAAGCTCATTTCACAACCGAAGGGTCATTTATAGAACAAGAATTTTTTTATTTTACTGAAGTGGAGGTCTCAAAGCCTACAGGTCAAAAAGTTTGGAGAATCCTAATCTAGCATGTCATTTAAAAAATATTGATATTAGTTGATGTAAATATAGCTGGTACAGGGATTAGAAAAAAAATTTGTATGAATTTTTGTGCTGAAAAAAAAAAATGAGGTACTTTGTATAATATCCAATCATTGCGAATTGTAAATTCTTAAATTTATAATTCCATTTTCACTTTACTATTAGACAACCTATACCACTACAACCCATGAAGGGTCTTGGGTTCACTACTTTGTTAGGAAATACTGAGGCTAATGGTTGTGACTTGGTCAGGATTTTCCTTCTAATTAATTATTTTTAATTAAGAACATGCCCCAGGAGGATCTTGACCCCAGGGTCAATGCATGGTTAATGAAATAGATAAGATAAATAATTACCTGCCACAGTCAGATGCAAACCTGGGATCTAGAGCTTCGCGGCCCCCATATCTCACTGAGCTACTCTGCTCTTAGTATTTGGTAACAAGTTTATAAAACATTGAGAAAAGATTTGATGTCATGTTTGTCTTACTCTCTACTGCTAAGAAATCTAGAAAAATCACCCTACCTCTTAACTTTTATTCACCAGTTCCTGTCCCTGGAACATTGGTTCATAGCCTGCTATACCTCACAACCATAATAATTGAACAGCTTTATGGGGATAATTAGAAAGGAGGTGGGGACAGAGCGACCGAGCAGGCTAACGCATCTGCACAGCACCACGCATTGCCTGGCAACCTGATAGCCGAAGTTAGAGATGAAAAAATAATTACGTGTTCAAATCCCAGTGCCCGGTGGGACTTTTAACTTAGCATAAATCCCCCAACCTGGGGAATCCTGTGAAGCCTAAAAAAGGCAAGGAAGGGGAAAAAAAAAAATTAGAAAGGAAGCATCACAAGTTTTTAAAGGCAAGGATTTACAGAATCTCTGGAACTGTTTATGATAATAGATTTTTGAGATATCTTGGTTACATGATTAGTCCAGGACAGTTAATTGTTAAAGGTTACTGATGTGTGGGTGTTAGTGAGTGCGTTTGTGTATACTGAAGGCAAAAAATAAGAGGAAAAATTTCAGCTGGTGGTGTTTATTAAACATACAATTTCATTTTCTATTTTTTGTATTATTTTAAATATCGTCTAATGTACTAATGGGTATTTTGTGTCAGAAAAATACCCCACATGTTTGAGCAATTACATTTTTATTTTAGTTCTTTCTCATTGTTTTTTTTTTTTTTTTTTCCTCAAACTTATTTCCATTTGCTTCTTAAGAATACATGACTGCAATTTCTTTTTCTTCATATTTTGCTAAAGCACTAGTTGTTGGTATGTTTTATCAGCATTCAGATTTTATAAATCAATTTATTATGAATTTTCTGATGATAAGGCCCCAGGATTCCAGAAATGTTGATTTATAATAGAATATAGATGGTACTTTGTATAATTTATGGTCTCTTATCAATTTAGCTACAAAGTTATCCAAGTAATTTTTTTTTCAGGGATCGAAATATATTTTGTTTATTATCTATATTAGTTTGTAAATAAATTATTTTGTCTTACTAAAATATGTTTTCCTGAACTATATTAGGTACAAAAATAGATTTGAGAGAGGATAGAGAAACATTGAATGGTTTGGTGGAACAAGGTCTTTCGCCCATTAAACGAGAACAAGGCCAGAAACTTGCCAATAAGATCCGTGCCGTCAAGTACATGGAATGCTCAGCCCTCACTCAACGTGGTCTTAAACAGGTATTAATTGTTATTTTTAAAAATGTCTATCTTAATTGTATGTAAGAGTTTGAATATTTTTGGAATAAAATTATATAATGTTATATTTCTGGAAAAGTGGACTATATGCCAGAACATGACTCGGTAATACCTCATTTGTAACATTAAAATTAATAAAGACAATGATCCGGGTCACCACAGCCAATATTGATTAAGTTGAGGCTCATTACAGAATAAGCTGAGATTCGTATTCAGTTTTTAAAAATCGATTGTTATGTGAAATTTTCTCCTTCAAGTTTCTAGTCTTTAGACTGAAATATATTTTAATAAATTAATTACTAAAATACAATTTATTCTTTCCTACCACTAGCAAAGATGTATATGCATGCCACAATTATTTCTCAAATGGTTGGACTGAGTTTGTTTCTTCGTTTTTGTTTTGTAAGGATTCGACAACTGATGGCTTTGTAATGAGAGAAAAATATTTTTTTCCATAGACTTTAGTACTAAAATGGCTCTGACAATTTTGACTAAATTTGCTTATAGTCTTCTACTTAAAGCCCTTTTTATTTTAAAATATGTAGTACATCCCAAGAAAAAGTTATGAAGAAAAGAAAATTTGTATTGGATATATCTCATCAAGTATACATTTAATACAATATTTTTTTTTTATAATGTTGAACATGTTTTGTGCCCATGAAGTATAATTTGCTGTCAGCTTTAGTTTTCTGGTAGCATTTAAAGAAAACTGCTGCAGAATTGTATTGAATGCTTGTCGAAGCTTATGGTGAGCATTTCTTAGTAAATCACAGTACTTTGAAGAATTTAAAAATAGAGATTTTGACGTGAGAAATGAAGAACTTGTTACGTGGGTGTGATATTATGTGCTGCTAAAATCTGGCCAAATCTTTCATACTAAATGCTATCTACAATAATTTGTTTACAATCTGAATCCTGTAATGTGTGAAAACGACCAAAACATAAAAAAAGACAACAAAAATGGTTTTATTTCATGATGATGAACCATCAGAAACAGCAAAACCAGTGAAGGAAGTGATTGAGATGTTCAGTTGGAAAATATTAGCTCATTCGGCTTACTCACCAGACTTTTGGCTCCGTCCGATTACTTTTTATGCAACTGTTTTCTGGTGTGGCAATCATAGATAGCTAGAGAGATGAGGAAAATGTATAGCTAGCAACGGAAAATATTTTGAATGTAATATTGCTTATAGCAAAAGTATAGTTTCATGTTTACATATGTCCTTAATTAACTTTTTTGTTGCAAATGAGTTAATGGAATCATGCCCTGGTTTATGATCCGCTGATCATGATACACTCTTATTATGGTTTATTTAGTAAATTTCATTATATGTTGGACCATAGGTATTACAGTTTTGTCTAATTAAAAATAAAAATAAATTATTTTCAGGTATTTGATGAGGCAGTAAGGGCCGTGTTGAGACCTGAACCACAAAAACGGAGGCAGCGTAAATGTTCTGTGCTCTAGTCGGTTGGAAGAGAGATGGTCGATTTGGGACAGCAGAGGGGCTACCAGTCTAGCAGCCGCCGGCTACTTTGTTAGTACCGCTGAATTTTTAATTAGGTTGTCATAAATTTCTCGATAACTGAAAGTCTTGTTACACGTCGCTTTACTTTTAAGAGATGACTTTTCAATGGTTGTTTTATTATTTTAATATTTATTTTCAAACATTCATTATGTTTAGGATGAACGATACATTCTTTTATTGTAAGGGCCCCAAGTTTTAATTCAAAAAGTTATTTTGTTTATTTAAATGAAGCCTTTTTTATTAAACCTAATAGATGTAAGATATTCTATTATTGAATCCTTTCAACCGATGAGAGTTAAATTTTCATAATGAATGTTTTAATAAAACTTCCAAAGTATAAAAATAAAGATGCATTTATTACTGTATTATGAATAGTTTTTAATTAATAATGCTATTTTTTAATGCGGGTGTCAGATTTGTATTTAAAGTCATTTACTTCTTAAACCTTTTTTTGAATCAGCATTGGAACAAAATTTACTTGTGAAATTGCAATGGAGTAATGATTTATGATGAATTTCCATGTAATAAGTTATCTCAACAGTCAAACTACTCTGGGTTTGAGGATTAATTGAAAAGTTTTCAATATTTCTGTTAACAAAGTAAGAGTTTTCCTTTGCTATCGTAAAAAAAGGTTTGAGTTTTCAAGAATTATTTCTAGTTAAGTTAATGTTACAAGTAATAGTTCTAATCCTTTTGTAAATTGGTTTTATAATCAAGTCTGAAATCTTTTAAAAGAAAAAAAAAAGATAAAATATTAATACCAAAGAAATTATAATTTTTTTGTTTTGCTAGTCCAGTATGTCCATTTTCATAGAAGTTAATGTGGATATTAATTTAATGTATTTAAACCATTTTTACCAAAAGCTTTAACTAACTTTAGGTGATCAATATTTGTTTTCTTCTTTCTCTTAATTTATTTTTTAAAAAAAAGATCTTATTATTAAGATTTAATAATCTTAGTACATATGCTCTTCATGAAAATTGAAAATTTTCTACTTCTAAAAGAATTGTCTAATTTAATATGTATAGGTATAATGTTCATGTAAATACTAACAAGAGCATATGATAAACGATCTGGGGAGATATTTCTTACCTCATATTATTGATTTAATTTTATAACAATCGGTCTACCCTGTCTATTCTTGACCTTGAAAAGAGTGATAACAATATTAAACAAAATAAAAAGATACCATATTTCACCAAATATTTAGCCATTTTCTTTTATATGTTGTTAAATGTATGACAAAAAAATAAAAAAGCACTGAAATGCTATATTTTATTTTAATGGATTACAAAAATGTTTTCTAAACCATTACATTGGTTAATTTAATTGGCTTTGGAGTAAAAATTACAAAACACTTACCATCTTCCATTTTCATGAATAACTTCTAATGTTGAGTTCGAGGATCAACCTGAGGTGACCTGCGTCTTTGATGTCAAATTAAAAAAATATTGGCTTATTCTTTATCTCACAGAAAAGACCAAGATTTTTTTATATTTTTCATATCTTTGTAACTCAAGAAATGTAAAATCACTTTTTGAGAAATAAGGAATTTTTAAGGATGAACTTTTGAAAATTATTGTTTTAAATTTGGTCAATTACGGTATACCTAATCATATCATTAATATTTTTGTTTCTGAATGTATAAGGAAGTAAATTATTATCAAGGTCAAGGATGGTATGTAAACACGCGGTTCTCAACATTTTTGGCTCTGTTTTTTTTAATACCCACATACCGATTGTGCCCTTTCTCTTCGATACACTGGGAGGAGCGAGAACGGAAATAATTTAAATTCAAATTTTTTCCCTATTGCTGCTTTTATTTGTTATTCATCACAAAATTACAATGAAAATAGTATTACATCAAGGGAAACATTTTTCAGTTGCATTATTTTCTCATTTTCCCATACATACTAGTTTTAGAACCTCTGATGTAAACCACAAGAAAATTATTTTTGTTAAATATGTTAATTTATTATCACCGAATGCTTGAGAGTTACTTAATGAATAAATGAAAACGCAGGTGTTATAACAAATTTTTATTGAGGTTAGTTTTTCAATCCCCATTTTAATATAAACTGAAAAAATTGATGCTAAATTTCATTAACTTCAGATGAAAAGGAACCTTTTTTTTTTGCCTGTAATCTTATAATACATTCTTTTTTTTATTTAAAAAGCTAATCTTAGTTTAGGGTAATTTTAATATAAATTAAGATTTATTTAACTTCTTTACTTAAAATGAGTTGGTTTATCAGCTTCAAATGTAAAGGTTGTGTTAGAAAAATTTAGCATCAGCTTCTTCTTTACCGCTAAGTTATATTTTTAACAGATCACAATGTGTTAAATCTCATGCTGCTCAAAATTGAAATATCTCTTTTCGATTATTTCACATTTAACAAATATTTGTAAATTAACCAAATACTCTAAATTGAGCTTTCTGTCGATTAATTATATTTTATTGTACCCTAATAAATCATTAAGAGTGTGAATTAAAGAGGAATAGAGATAGTGATTGATAACTATTGGCTCTGTAAAGAATTTGAAATTATATAAATAATTTTTACCAATGCCATCCAACCAAGGGTATTTACTGTTTAAGATTTTCTAACATTGATTTGTGTATATTTTTTTGTTCTAATAATATGTTTTTTCAAGCCAAAGCTTTATCTTGATATTAGATTTTATTATTTAAAGAAAATTGTATGCTCCCTCCCTTTTTAATGAATATTTTTTTGAAATAATATTTATTTATAATCCATGGAATGTTCAGTTTTAGTGAAGTCTAGATTTTTTACATTTATTTTTTTTAAAAAGTTGAAATGCATCAATTCGCATCTTTGTAAGTTAACATATTTACCTGGCATATTTTTATTTAGTTAATTGTTGATGCACAAGACTTATTTAAAATTGTATCATATAAACATATTTTATTGTTTCGTGTATGTGAAAATAAAAATAAAAGTAATTTATTATTTATTTCAAGAAGGGTGTAAACCTTTTTTTATCCTTTATTTCTTATCTCTTCTTATCATACTTTCAGTTACTTTATTTAATTAAATTTATAAAAAAAATTCCGTTAAATCTTATTATAAAGATGTGTGTGAAAAAGTGGTGTATCATTTTCATAATGAATAATCAATTGATTATTGATTATCTTAACTCCAAGCTTTTAAATAATTGGATATCTTATTGAATATTTTCAAAAGACCCTTTTTATCATTACAGTCCTCATTTAGATTAGGCAGTGATTGCAAATTTATGTTTCACTGTGGGTATTTGTATTTGTTTAAGAATTTTCATAAATTTTGATTTTCATTCCATAATCTATATAATTAAATAATAATTAATGTTAGTGTTGACATTTATGAAAAAAAGTATTCATACTTTCAAAAATTATTTGTCAAACTATATTTATCCATTCCTGAACATATATTTAATTTTATTTTATCCATATATTTTTTCTTTCCTATTATGGAAGGTAAGGAAGCTTTATTTTAGATTCATCTATGTATTGTCAATTTTATTAGCTTAGTTGTCACTTTATCAAAAGAACAGCTGATGTGATGTGCGTGTCATACAACTTTCACTTACCACCCTCTTCGTAAAAATAACTATTTTCATACAAAGGGAAGTGAAAGTAAAAATTATAGAAGGTATAACAAAACTATTTAAAACAATAAATTATCGTATGTATTTCATAGCTCTCTAATTTATGTTGACATTAGCCTTTTTTTTTTTACGAGGGTATATTTAAATTATTTATTTGATTTTAAGAAATAATTAATTGTCACGAAATATTGTTAGTGTGACAAGAGTGCCACTGATAAAGGAGACCACTATATTTATTTATATTTCTAATGATGTAGAGATGGTTGACCATTGATATAATATGAGGAGTTAATTGGGAGTGCGGTCAAATAAATACTAAATTAAAATATAGTAATTATTTATTTTTTGCCGACGTTTCGACCCACTTGCAGGTTGTCTTCAGGGTGTAGGATGTAGCACTGCGGGAGGCAGTTGAAACACTGTCCAGTGTATCAATATATACTTAGCAGTTATGTAAAAACACTATAATAGAAGCAGCTGTAGCCAACAGCGAACCAAAACTAGAAAAATGAAAATAATATTTCAGAACCTCCTAGATTTGTATTTATAAATTTGTGACTTCTGTATACTCTCTTCTTATATTTGTATGTTTAGCTTTAGTCTTTATGGAAAGTGTAACTGAAATAATGGTGGTAAATTAGGAAGGTCCACTTAGTGTCCCAGGAGCAATCATCTATCAGTTAAGAGAACTATACATGACATTTATCTTTTCTTCTTTAACTACTTGATCTATCCCAAATTTGTTGTTTTATTTTTTTCTTAGACTGTTTCTAGATAATGTTTTATCAATATTTAACTTATTTTGTTAAAGAAATTGGAAATTTAATAGGTATCAGCTACTGGAACCTTTTGGCCGGTAATAATAAAATGAGATATACTTGATATAACGGTTGTTAAAAATGAGACCATCTATTACTCTCTCATTAATAGAAAAAAATTGCTAGTGATATGAATTAAATACAAAGTAAAAATAGGTTTTCCTATTGTCAAAAACTGATTGTTGACAGTGTCCAATAAATTTAAGACCAGAAATGCAATGAGTTAGTTTTATAATAAGATAAATAGTGGATTTTAAATGTATATCGGCAAGGTGGGAAGTAGCTCTATAACATGAAACAAAGAAAAATACAATAACATAAATATATAAGTTTTAAACTAAAAAGGTTAAAGAAATTTCCTTAAGCATGTCAGCTAATGGTGCATTTACTCTAATATTAAAATTTTAATTTTGGAATGGAAGAGATGAAACATATTTAAGTTTTGAAAGAAAATGTCATAACAAGTAGTATTTTTATTGATTGTTAATTAAAATACAAAAGTAAAAACATATTCTATGTAATTAATAAAAAAAAATGTCTTGGTAATTAAATTATTATATAAAAAAGGAACCTCAAATGGAACTTAATAATTCAAAATATAACAGAACTTTATACTTTAAAATAAGCTTAAAAATTGATAATTAATAACAAAATTCTACTCAAGCATAAATAATCGGTGCAATATCGCTAAATAGTTTAACAAATGAGCAAAATTTAATACTGCAGTAATAAGAAAACAAAAACAAAAGCATTTGATGCTTTTCCATACAAATAAATAACATTTTCAAATAAAAAAGTGTTAATTTTTTTATTTTACTTAAGTAAAATATATTGTTGGTTTATTGTGAAAAGTCATGAAATAAGTTTTAGCCATAACATAGTGCACTTTCTGGAACTATTTTTGACGTTCATGTTATGTTGAAGCGCTTTCATTGAATTTCCGCATCAATAGATATGTCAAAATTCAACAATCATTACATTAATGCTTAGCTCCAACAAAAGTATATATAATGACTTTTAACAATATACCATAGACATATATATATTAAAATATCTTTATAAACAAATACAAATTTATTTTACAGTTGAAGACATCAAATATATCATAAAATATGCTAAGTGGTAACAAAAACCTGAGGAATAGTATAAAAAAATATTAAAATATGTTTTGTACTTGCATCATATGTAGTACTATACAAGATAACGAAGTCGAAAACAATTTGTAAGAACTATGTACATTACAATAGAAAACAATTGCAACAAAAAATCCATTAAACTCTTTTGGTTTTTTCCCTAACATTTTTAGTTTTTGATTGCTTAGGAGGCTTTGAGATTGGCAATTTAACTTCTTTAGGATCTCCATCGTCATCGTCATAGGGCTTTTTAATTCTTTCTATTAAATCTCTTGCTTTCCAATAATTTATATTACGACTCATGGTTGAAGCAAGAATTTCTCCATTGGCATTGAACACATTCAAATTCAAAATGCCACCACATGAAACAGAATCAAGTTGTAGTCTCATTAATCCAGTTTCAGCACTGATAATATCAACAGTACGAGCTTCGCCTTCGACATAATCCTCCAGGCTTGGGTCCGGATACCTGCCCACAACAATCAAATCACTGAGAGGATGCCAGGTAGCTTTTATAGGTGTCATATGTTGGAACTGTCGATGTGGATGAGTGATAGATGTTTCCAGATCAAAGAGAGGTGCTTTATAAACCCTCAGTTCTTTTGATTGATCTGTTGTTAATAATCGGTTACCATCAACTTGACTGAAATTAGCTGAATTTACAGCATGATCATGAGATAGAGTATAAATAGGCTTTTTTGATTCAATTTTCCTGATGTCCCATATTTTGACAGTTTTATCTAAGGAAGCTGATGCTAGAAGCCAATCACGTCCCTTTGGGATTTCCAATGAGTTTATCTTTCCTTTTTGAACTTTGTGTAGAGAAACAATTTTTAAATCTTTATTTAAAATTGTCATTGTACCTGAAGTGTCACCTGTTACTATCAAGCCATGATCTCTTGAAGCATTCACACTGCAATACCATTTAGAAAATGAATCTGTATTGAGAAATTCTTTACTTGTATTTTCAACATAATTATGTCTCCTAACAGTGCCATCAATACTGGAAATTAGAACACTATTAGAAACAAGAGGATCAAAAGTAATATATGTTATAGAACCACCAGGTCCAATACCATTCCAAGTTAATGCAGCAGTAGGTTTATTCAAAAACCGAATAGTAAGCTGTCCACTTTTAGATCCTATGCCAAGTATATGTGGATCCTTTGGATGAAACTGTAAAGCAGTTATTCTTCTGTCAAAATCTACACTATCTTCTCTGGCATAAACATAGAAACGTCTTAGTTTCTCAGTTATAACTTGTTCACTAATTCTACCTCTTTCATTTTGCTTTAAGGACCCTAATTGATATTTATATAAACATTTAACGACATTTTCAACTTTAAACTCAGTAAACTTTTTAGTAACAGAAAGACTATTAACGCTAGAAGATATTTTTTTCGAAATTTTTCTTTTGGGACCTGAAGTTTCTTTAGCATGACTGCTTGAGGAACTATCGTTAGGCCTTTTTCTAGAAGTCATGATAAACGATTTCTCAGATAAAAGAAATGAGATAGATTTATCAATCACATAATAACACCACACTTCAACAATCAACCATTCACTGTCTTTAAAAATAAAATGACACTACCAGTACCAAGTGAACCTCAACGAAAACAAAAACAAAACCTACTACCCGCCTAAACCAAGTGCTGACCAATAGAGCGGGAAAAAATATTGATAAATCTTTCACTTACTATTAATTCATAGATTTTTTAAATAATTTCTTAAAATACATACAAGTAAATTCAATAACTTGGGTCATATTGGAAATAAAATATAGGATAAATGGCGCATTTTGGTATAAGACAAATGATTATAGATCTCTTTTAAATTTTATTTTTTGTGATAATCTTGTCATTATATAACATAATTTTCAACAAATATATTTGCTTAAGCAACATTGAATAGTAAATATACTTAATATTTTCAATATTCATAACCGAGACTTGATGATTACATATCGAATTTCAAAAACTTGAAGCAGACTTTAAAATATAAAAGGGAGATATCTTCAAGATTGTTTCTTGAAACGTTTTTTCATTCCATGAACTTAACATAAAGCTTTGGCAAGGATATAGATCCTAACAGGGCGGATTTATGGGAGGGGAGGATTTCGGGCTGAAGGCCCTCCCCCCTCCCCAAAATGGTAAAATATAAATGTTTTACAGAAAAAAATATTATACACTATTTCTTAAACTATTATTGTTCGTGTAATTACATTTAATAGGACTTCAAGAATCACTGAAACACAATGTCATATGGGTAGTTAGTTTCTTTCTTTTTTTTCTCTTAATTATATATATATATATATATATATATATATATATATATATATATATATATATATATATATATATATATATATATATATATATAGATATAAAATCCTTCGGGCTGAAGCCCTCTCCAAAATTAAATCCTGGATCCGCTAGTGGATCCCAATACCTCACTTGTGATGTTCTGGAGGGTGTTGAGCATGTAACTGCACTGCGGTCGGTGGATTAAAAGCCACGAAGACGAGAATTACAAGAGTTTATTCTTTCCTCAGATTTTGAGTGAGGAGAACCTCCCACGGTTCAAGAAATTATAAAATGAATGGAAGACATGATGGCTCCAAACCATTTCAACATGGATACCCACAGAAGGGGAAGAAGGCAAGTGCTGAAACCTCCAGATTATAGAAACCACTCTGATAGCCAGATTAGAGATTTAAGTAAGGAAAGCCAAAAGAGGGTTGCATGGCGCACATTGTCATTTTTTTTGGGAGAGAGGTATATTTCTATATGGTTATAAATTTTAGAGGAAGGATCGCATGTTTACGGGGGATGAATTTTTAAGAGAGAACCATATTTACGTGAGGTTTAAATTGGAGAGAACTTCCAAACCAAGATAGAAAAGAAAACCTAAGCTAAAATTTTATTTTATTTTCATATTCACTGTTTTTAAGAAGAGAGCTGTACATTTTCTTGTGAGAGGGCATGCGCCATCACCCTTGGGAGTGGGAGATGGGCAACCCTGGACTTGAAGTAAGAAGAGCTAGAAGCTGGAATGCACAGCTTTTTTTATTTTATTATAAGCTTACAGTAATATATAAGTTGTTTAGTTATATGTATTTTTCTTATTGTTTACTTACAGTAATATGTTAATATTCATTCAGGCTTAATATCCAATTACTTCATAAGCCCGTACTATCGTATTGGTATGCTAATATAGAAAATAAATAGTGTAAATAGCATCACATATATTATAATACTATAATGGTGTAATTTTGCACATAGTATTTTTATTACATAGATTGTAAAATACCAAGTTGGATTTTAGTGATTAATTTAATATTTGACAGGGACTGAAAAAATTATACCCTAGCCCTTTCTCTCTACAGCCCTGTACACCAGCTCACATATATATATATTAACAACGTTAAGAATACCTTTTCAGGGCGCACAGATCTTTTGTTAACTTAAAATCATTATTTCAAATCCTCTGTTTTTAGTATCCGTTTGGATGGTGCGCAATTCACAAAAATGCCAAGTCTGAAGCACCACCTTGCATTCGGGAAACGTTTCGTTACAGTAATCCAATTTCATACAAAAACTATCCTGGATATGTTAAAAAAGCAGATAACATCATTAGCAGATCCAGGATTTAATTTTGGGGGAGGGGGACTTCAGCCCTAAAGATTTTTTTAAAAATATAAATAAAACGATAAATAATTTAAAAAGAAAGAAATTAACTACCTATATGAATGGTGTTTAAGTCCTGTTAAATGTAATTACACGAACAATAATACTTTAAGAGAAAGTTTTTAATATTTGTCTCTATAAAACATGGTTATATTTTATCGTTCTGGAAGGGAGAGGGGGGGGGGAGGGGGCTTCAGCCGAAAAGCTTCCCCCATAGATCCCCCAGTGGATGACATCAATGTAGAGATTTTCTTTAAAAATTTGGAGGAACAAATTCTTGATTGAAAATGCAACAAGAATAAAAAAAACTATTAGCATTGTTTGGGCAGCCTAGATTTCCTAGAATTGTTGGTTATTGGATCCACATTCCCTACATTAAAATTAGGTCTCCATATGGAAAAGGTTGGACCAAGACTCATCCCTAGAAGGGTACTCTTTCACCTCCCAACCAATCCTCACTGTATGCCAATCTGCAAGGGTTTCCATTCTGGAGGCAAATGCTTTGGAACCATTTTGGTACATGATTGGGAGTGGTGTTCGAAATGAAATGAAAAAATATTTTATTATTCTGTCCCTATAGAACAAATTATAAGTACAGATTGTATGTCTGTGTGGTTACAATCAGATTATATATTAACAATAAGAGTCGACTAAAAATAAAAATACTGAAGAAGAGAAAGAAAAGAACAAAAAATTGTACATATATATAAGAAACTAAAATAATCTAAATAAATTGAGGAAGTCTCTGGGTGCGCTTAGATATTTCTCTTAAGTATATTTCGCAATCAGTCAGATTGAGAAAGGAGTAGGTGTTTAAAGAGGAAACTGATTGAGCATCAGCAGGCATGATTGTCGAATATCAACAGGGATGGAATTCCAGAGGGAGGCGGCTTGTATTGCAAAGGATTTGTCAAACGCAGCAGTTCGGTGAGGAGGAGAATAGAGGTCGGAAGTACGAGATCTAGTGGGACGGGATTGGATGGAGTATTTGAATTGTAAGCTGTGAAAAATATAGGAGGGTTGATGAGTTCTAATGATCTGGTACAGAAAGGTGGCTAGAAAGTACTGACAGCAATAGGATGGGTAGAACCACCTCAATTCAGTGTAAAACTGGGTAATATGAGTATCCCTTGAGATTCCGAAAACAAATTATAGTGCGCAATTCATTAGGCGTTTTGGGAGAAAACTAGGAGTTGACAGGACTTATATGGAAGGAGATATCGTAGACGATTGAACTAGTGCAACAGGAAATTTGGAAGATGTGTGGTTTCCAGGATAGGGTTTGATCAAAAGTAACACCTAGGTTTTAACGGTGGTATGGAACAAGTTAGGTGAGTTATTCAGGAGGAGATTGGGAGATACCGGGCAGGATTTGAGGAGTGAGGGGGATCTGATAAGGATAGCTTTTGCCTTCTCGGCGTTCAGAGTGAGCTTGTTGAGGTTCGCCCAAGCACTAATTCTGATAATGTCTTCCTGAAATTTTATAATGGCATCTGAGAAATCGGTCGGATTAAAGGAGAGGTAAATTTCAATGTCGTCGACATACAGGTGGTATTGACAGTGCAGGATTGAGGATGGGAGGTCATTTATATAGATGGAGAAAAGGGGCCTCTGGTCAGAGATAGAGATTCTGATGAGGGGTTATTAGGAATTACAACATACTGGAGCGACCGGTAAGGAAGGATTGGAACCAATTAAGGGAACTAGAAGAAAAAGAGATATTTTTAAGTTTTGTTAGGAGGATGTTGTGGTCTATTGAATCAAAAGCTTTGGAGAAGTCAAGAAGAACAAGGATAGTTAGTTTCTGCTGATCTATGGCTGCGTGAAGGTCTTGGGAAATTTTGACTAGGGCAGACTGAGTAGAATAACCAGGCCTGAAACCGGACTGGTAGGGATTTAGAAGACTATTGTCCTCTAAATAATGGGATAACTGGGATTGGACTAATTGCTCTAAAGGTTTTGAGAGGTTTGAAAGAAGAGAAATCGGTCAGAAATCATTCAGAGCTGATGGGTTTGAGGTCTTCTTCAAGGGGCGTATTACCAGGATGCAGGGAAGGTAGCATTTTCAAGAGAATAATTATATATATGATAAAGGAATGGATGGCAATGCAGCTTTAATTAGTCTGACTGGGATGTTATCGGGACCTTAATCATTGGTATGGGACTTCTGAATGGATTTAAGGAGATCATCTGAGGTACTATGGGAAAAAAAGAAGTGATCAGGATTAAAAGAAGAAAACATAGGAGCTGGACAGGACGTAGGAGATGTGGTTGCAAGAGGGCAGGAGACAAAGTGAGCGTTGAGGTTATCAGCAGAAATGGAATGTTGTATTACTAATGGTCAGTTTTTAAGAATAGTCCACGTGGCCTTGGTATTAGGAGAGTATGACCTTGAGTTAGTTATTACTTTTGTAAATTTATCTTTTTATTTTGGAAGGTTGAAGTGGACTGAGCCAACTGTATTCTTCCACCCTTATAAGGAATCTTTGAAGCACAGGTAATTCTGCAGTAAATACTGTGGAAAATCCTTTTCTGTAAGGACAGATTTCGGTTTACGACTTTGAAAGTATAACTGATATAAATGACATTTGCTGATTTACATTTAAAGAACCTGTGTAACTAGGAATAAGGGATTATCAGTAAAATAAAGCCGTCAGTCTCAGAAAAATTGGAATGCATCTGGGTCTGGATTAGGCAAATGTAAATTATAATTCTGAACCATATGCTCCATATCATAAAATTGTGACATAGTTTAAACCCAATTCTTTTCTTTTTTGCTACTGATATTTCCAGAAGCGTGGTAGGTTTAAAATAATGTCAGGTGTATACCCAAAGATCTTGTGATCACATGCTCTTATAATAACTACCTATGAATATTGAACAAAACCATTGAGGTGGAATGTAAAACTTGGAACCATCAGAACAATCATTATCATCATACGTATTCATTTTTGAAACATCTTATAACAATATAAAAAATAGGAAATAGTTGACCATTTATCTAAATCAGGGTTATTTTGGATAGCAGAAAAAAAAATATATAATATAAAATAGCAGGTTTTTGTTTTAACCAATCTCAACTCTCAATTTTTAAAATAATTTAAAAAACATATTTTAATTTTATTTATGTACAAACAATTAAAACAGCATAAAATATATCAATTCAAACACTGATTTTATATATCACTCTTCCTTCACAATATGTTTCCTAGCTTCAGAAACAAATGGCACAGTTCCAGGCTTGGAATGTTGTCGTCGATTTGACTCCCTGAAAATAGACATGGCTCATGAAGAATAAATGATAAATGTTAAGTAATTAAATATTCTTAATTTATGATGGAATAATTTAAAAAAAAAAAATGTTTTGTATGTATACTAACTTCCTCTTTTCTTTTGTTCTCATCATTCTGATTTGTTGAGAAGCACTGTAGATATACTTTGGAACATGTCTGAAATGAGCAATTTTCCTAACTTCTGGGAATGCTTGGTATTTCTTCTTTAATGCCTCATTATATGCTAATGATGCACGCTCTCTAGGAGGTAACTGGAATAAAAAGTTTTATTAAAGTACAATAGACAAACATCATGTTAATTAAAAAGTATTAAAACAGATCATTATATCAAATGTCAAACAATATGAACATTCAAGATCTAATCTTCACTTTGAAGAAAATTATAGAAAAAGACATGGATCAAATTACAGATGTTATATAGATATCATAAAATCATTCAATAGAATTAAAGAGTACAGCACCTTAAATGAAGACATCCAATTGTTAACCTAAAGAGTTTAAAACTAATATTTGAATAAGACCGGAACACAACTTGAGCCCTTTTCTTTATTTATTATTTTTTTTGTCATTTGTTGTTTCTCAAAAAACAGACTCAGATAAGAGGTTACAATTCAGATTTAGATGCTTTAGCTGATCTGTTACAAATATCTCAATAGTTTTTACCGAAGGTATACACAGTAGTGCTAACCAACAATGACAGAGATTTGATTTATAATACAATAGAATTGGAAAAAGTAACTAAGGAAATCAACCAAAGAATTAATGATGAACCCATCCAACAAGTTAGAAACTTTGAGTATCTGGGAGATCACTTAAATGAGAACTTAAATCATTGACCACAAAATAATTGAAAGAGTTAATTCATAAATCAATGAACTGAAATAACATTTAATGCTGTAGACAGAAACTTCAGGAATAAAAGAGATGTTTCTAAGGAAACAAAATTGAAGGACAATAAAACTGCATTACTTCCATTATTATAATACTCTTATTAAATACCGGTCAGAAGAGAAATACAATTTAAGTTAAATCAGAGAAGAATACTAACATCTCTCTCTATACTAACGAATCTCGGTGTTGAACCAGTTATTGAATAAAACTGTCTCAGGTGTTTTGGCAGCTTTTAAAAATAGAAACAAATTATTTCATCTGAATGACATACAAGGCTAAAATTAAAAGCAGAATGTCCAGAAAGCAACTGACACAAAATGAGTGGAAGCAGAGGAAATATTATCTTGATAACAAATATTTGAAAGTAAATCTTTTTTAACTTTTATAACAAGTCATTAAGACCATTATAATTAAAAAATGTCTATTTAATATATTGACGGTAGTTAATAAAAATCTAGTCACTCCATCTGCTTTTATAAACCACACAACTTTCTTTGCTTTTATAAACCACAGAATGAATAACTCCAATTTCAAAATTTTTGAGTAATGTCATTTTAGTGATATTTTTAGTTGAAAAAGTTATCTATGCAGACAATGAGTAAGTTGATTCCGGAGGTGGGGGATTGCAGTGTTGAAATATAGAACTGAGAATAAAGGTATAAATTTAGGTACTTATTTCTTATGAAAGATGTTCTTAGGAAAGATACTTTATTAAATATCTATAGAAAAAAGGTTTTTTTAGTCTCAACAATTAAAAAAGTATATTTTAAATTTATCCAAATTTTCGCCTCTTCAGGGAAAAAAACTGATTATAGGTATGCACTTTTTCTGAAATCTATTATTTATAGTAACCTGAAGTTTCTAGTCTTTATGAATTGTCCACACTATAAAATCAACAAAATGTCTGAAAGTTTACATACCACTCCTAATTTTTCAGATGCTCTTGCTTTCCAAAGCCTGATGTTCATTTCATCAGAAGTACTTAATATGTATTTGTTGTCCAGAGACCACGAAACATTTGATATCCTTTGCATTCTTTTTGTGTGATAAACTTCTCTGGAGTTCATCTATAAAAAAAAAAAATATATGAGTTGGTTATACTGAAATAAATTAGGAAATGCAGATTAATACAAATAAATCTCACTTTATCAGCAGGGAAAATTCTCAATGTTCTATCGTAACTACCAGAGACGAACTCTAGCCCTGTCGGAGAATAGTCAACAGATATGACAGCACTAATGTGGCCTTTGTGAACTTTGACAGCAGAAGACATGCGCCGCATATCAAAAGTATAGAGGCTAGAAAAAAAAAAAAATCAAATATAAAATAAAACACATGTTTAATAGGATAAGTGGCAACAGTTTTAAAAAATATTCCTTTAGAATTTTCGGAAGAGATGATTGAAGACATAGCAAGCTTGACCAAAGCCTCACTGAGGAATTATTTTTCTATCTTACTTTTTTTTGAAGTATGTGAAGACTTTTATTTGATAAGATTCCCATTATATATGTTTAATTATCTTATGTTTTCTTTTTTTTTTTTTTGTTATTGAAGGTAAATATTACTTTTATTTCAAGGATTAGGAATTTTTAGATCACAACATTCATACTTTCAAAAATTACATTTCAAACTACATTTATCCATTCTTGAACATAAATTTAATTTTATCCTATCCATTTATTTTTGCTCACATTTGAAGGAAGGGAAGCTTTGTTTTACATTCATTTATGTATTGCCAATTCCATTAATTTTATTAGGTTAATTATCTGTTGTATTAATTGTCACTGTATTAAAAAATAAACTATGAAAAACATATTTTTTATCTAATAGCTAGAATCAAGACAGCGGAGAAATCTTATAAAATGTTTAAAAAATTTAAAAGATAAAAACATGTTTTTGATATTCTTAATAAAATGGCAATTAATAACAAATAATTAAGCTAATAAAATTAATGGAAATGACAATACATGGATAAATATAAAAAGAATTAGATATAGAGCCCAAAATATCATAAATAAAGTGTCTTTGGAGGAATAAATGTTGACTAAAATACTTAACCATTATAAAAATTAAAATGTTTAATAACATTTTTTTTCTGTTTAAAACATGAAAGGAAAATAAATATGAAATAATTACTTATAGTCTTCATTGGCAACAGTATAATGGAAGGCTTCCATTGGATTCCAAGAAATTTGGTTCGTTCTCAAAGCTAAGACCAACTTACGAATAGGTCCTGAATCACGTGTATCATAAAAAGTTATACTTCTATCGTCAGCACATGCTCCTGCAAGAATATAATATTTACTATAAGATTAAGTTACTTATTCCATACAAAATTTTTATCAAGATCAAAATTTTAATATCACAAAATTAAACTAAATAAGTTAGTTTAAAAACAAACCTATAAGATAAGTTTCAATTGGATTAAAGGCAATATAATGCACTGTATCAACACCCCAAGTAAAAGTTGTAATAGGTTCATTGCGTTCTTCTTCCCAAAGTTGACATTTTTCACCGCAAGTGGCGAATTTTTCATATCTCGGACTGTACGTAAGTCCAGTTAATAGAGCCTAAAAGTAAAAACATGAATAATAAATATATTATATATTATCAATGTGAATCAAATTGATTTAAAAAATATATATAATAACCTTGGAAACTATCGAAAATTGTGGCATATCTGTTTCACCATATTCAGGGACTTTGCTGTTCCAAATTTTAATTGTCTTGTCCCCAATTGTAATAAATCTCTCACCGAGCTTTGTATAAGCAATACCTTTAACTGAGTCATCATGAGCTTGAATATTTCGAAAACATTTTCTGGTTGGTAGATCCCAAAATCGAACCTAAAAATAAAAATTATAATTATATGGCAATTTATCAAATATCATAATAGTTGCTAATGATTTAATTTAATAAATATTTGAATAGATTTTAGGCAAAATTATACTAATGCAATAAACATAATTGAGACTGTCTAATTAAATTAACTATGTATCATTTTTATAAATAATAAAATGTAACAAGACAAAAAAATTCTTTTCATGTCAAACAAAAATTTCCAACTTTTAAAGATTAAAAAATATATGTTTTTATAAATACAATCAAAATTACAAATTGTGTGACATAGTGAGAGCTTTATTTTTAACTTAAAATGTTTTAAATCCCATGAATCAAATCAAATCTACCTTGAAACGATTTCAGTAGTACAAACAAAAAATATACACAACCTTTTCGCACACCAAAAATATAAATATTCCAAATAAAAAAAAAAAATTCTTGGGTATCGTTGAGAGCAAATAATTTTTAAAAGGATATTTCAAGTTTAAACTAATTTAATTTATGTATTTATCAATAAAAATTAATCATTCAATTGAACTTTAATAAATCACCAGAACAATGTTTATAGCCACTTGATCAAATTACATAGTCTAATTTAATTCAAAAATGAAGCAAGAGTCCTATTATTAACAATAGAAAAAAAAACAATAAAGTATTGATGAAAATTTTTTAAATTTATTTAGGGTATATTACATTTTTATGGATGGAGACAATTCAATATTTTCATTAGAAAGAAAAAAAATAATCAATTTTTAATTTTTTGCAACATGACCTTAAAAAAAAAAGTTGAAGTTCGATACATAGAAGTGTAACAATGAAGTTTTGTATGTTTTTGTAACAATGTAACTAAACTTTATTAACTCTTCATTATTAGTTCTTTCTCAATTGTTTCTGCTAAACTACTAGCTTAATAATACTTCAATAAATGTAGTTAAAACCAGAATAATGATAAATAATTTACTTACTTCTCCATCATGAGAGCCACTAGCCACAACTGATAAGCTTTTTGGATGCTTAGCTATAGCAGAGATGCCTTCAGAATGGCCATCAAGACTTCCAACAAATGGTTTCGCATATATTTTTTCAAGTTTAACAGCGTTCAAAGCACGTACATATTCTCTAGCACCCTCAAACGGATGGTGATCAGGATCAAAATTCCTAGGAACTGGTTTATAATGATAATAATAAGTAAGCTTACTCAATTGCTCAAGTTATATATATATATATATATATATATATATAACCACATAATTATATGGTAACATTGCCAAATTGAATACTATAATTTACGTTATAATATATTAATTTTTACAATAATATTTCTTTAAATACAAAATCCAGGGGCATTATTTATTGAATTTGATTGGGATAATTGTACTTCTGTATATCACAAATTGTGCAATGGTGAACAGTTGTTTGAGGGAACATACAAAATAATTGAACTTAATCATAATTAAGAAAGTTCACTATATTATTTCCCTTTCGGATTCTAAAAAGAATATTTCTGAAGAGAATTTTTTAAAATTTATAAAATAATTGGCTTCCACAAGAGATTTGAAATACTATTTTTCGAGAAGCTCCTAAAATTACTAGGTAGTTTTAGAGAAAAATATTTTATTATTAATCTAACTTAAAAATGCTGTTGAAGAATAAAAAAAGAGAATAGTAGGCAGGGTAGTACAAATAAGAAATTTGGTAGTTTATTATAAATTTAAAGCTCATCCAAAATCTTTAATGGGGTGACTGAATTTAGAATGAGCTGCAGAAAAAATCTTAATGTCCAGCATAATCCTGGCCAAATCACCTGTACAATTGTTAATCAAGCAACAATAATTCCTATTAAGCACAAAATCCGATTATCTTATGGTAGTTATTTGATTTCTAGTTGACTCAATTAGTTAGTGGTAAACTATGAGCTCCACATGTGCAAAATGTACATATGTGTATTTTAGTTGACTGTGTATGAATGGAGAGAGTGGTTTCATGTAAAGGAATCAAATCTTCCTACTTCTGAGACCCGTCAAAGCAACTAGTTGAATTAACTAAACCACCTTATGTAAAGTCAGCCTAAAGTTTGGCAGAGAAGATGAGGGAATCAACAGAATTTCTAGGTAGAAAATGAATGGAATAGGCCTATATACTATAAAAGAATATGTTTAAGACGGCCAGTGAGGATCACTCTAAATGAAAAATATAATGATGAAGTGGAGTGACAGAATAACAGAAAAAATAAATAAATAGAAGATATGAACCTTTATGAATGTCCCTTTTCGTTTCTCGTAGATAATCGTCGGGATTTCTAGTCAAAACCTTAACTTTCATTGCGTACAAAGTAGTAAAAATTATCGACTTCAACCAACACTATAAAGACTTTATTATTCCTTTAAGATAAAATAACCACACACTACACTAAAAGGTTATAAATACGACCATGCTTTACTTAATCGATTACTAAAAACATTCAGTAAACCAAAGAGATATAAAAATCACAATCAATGCTTTTGTTCACAATGTCAAACATATAAATAAATATTCTAGATTTGCTATTAAAAAATATTGTCTTAAGGACGAAAAACAGTGAAAATGCCTAAGGTACTTTTAGGCCAAATGTGGAAAATTTTGTGTCAGTGTTTTTACTTTCTTATGTAAGAAGTTTCGACGCAATAAACTTGATTTAAATTTTAAACAACTTTTTTATTTTACTAATTGAATTAGTTAAAAAAACACAACAACTGTACTGTTACAACCCATGAAGGGCCTAGGGTTCAGTACTATTTAGGTAAAGCACTGTTTCTTGATGTTCACTAAGTTGTTGGTTGTGCAAGGTGATTTGACCGGAATCAGGCTCAACCGCCAGATTTTGCCGCTTAATCAATTATTTAATTAAAGGATACCCATTTTATAGAGGCTGGGCATGCCCCAGGAGGGTCTCTCGACTCCAGGGCAATGATGGGTAAATGCTACTCTGAGTAATGAGTATCAAGTATTTTTCTCAAATACTAACCTTTTTCAGTGCCAAAGAATTTAATTACTGCTCCAGCTGATGGCAAATGATTAACTGAAGTAGTGATTGAATTCCCAATAGTGATTAAATTTGAGTAAAATACTTGGTATTCGGTATTCAGAGTAGCATCTAACCATCTCTGTTCCAGGGCAGCCCTACGGCCAATGAAACAAAATAAATATTTTTTCTGGCATTAGCCGGGATTCGAACCTGGGAGACCTTGAACATTGGAAGTTCAACACCCTACTACTGAGTTGCTGCACTCCTTCAATTGACCAAGTATTTGATGAAATTGTTTGCCACACTAATAAAATAAGTGATGTAACTTTAATATTGATAATTTGTTAGTAACTTGCGATATACCATCATCAACAATTTGTAATTTTTTAATAAATTCTAGGCAAAATATGTTCACTCGAAAGACTCAGAGAACACGAAAACTTATTGTCTACACATGATATATTATCTCTATTACTTATTAGAACAAATATGTGACACACATATATTTATTTATAAGTTTATAAGTTTACTTATGATTTTCTTTTATTTTAATTTTAGGCTTAGAAAACTATGTATTAATCAAAGCCCTTCTCTACTTTAAACAAAGCAGTGAGACTATCTTTTTCCATGTTTGCCTCTCTAACATGGCGTCGCGTTAAGATACAATTTTGAATAACAGCTTATTACAAAGAGGATGAAATACTTAAATTTCCCTTGCTTGTAGTCTGCAGATCCGATTTCTAGTTTCTGAGGTAAGTCTGATTGAACATATTGATTAAAATATCTCAGAAACTAGAAACCGGACCAGCAGACCATAAGCAGGGGAAATTTTAAGCATTTCATCCTCTTTGTAATAAACTATTATTCAAAATTGTATCTTAACGCGACTCCTCGTTAGAGAGACAAAAAGCGAGAAAGGTATTTTAATTAGTATGTTCAATCAAATTCGTTATCATTTGGGGTATGAAAATGGTTGATCGTAGATTCTAATTTCAGGAAAAGTTAGTCGGGGGTGCGGTCAAAAAATACTTTACTATATATGACGACTAATCGCCTTACTGCCTTCAGCAGTGCCAGATGGAATGCCCTGAAGAAAACCTACAACGTAGGTCGAAACCTTTGACAATGTAATAAATATACTATTATATAATATAGTATTTTTTGACCGCACTCCTGACTAAAATCGTTATAATTTGGTTTTTAACACAATTTTTCTCTTTTTGCCTCTCTAAGACGACGCCGCGTTAAGATAAAATTTTGAATAATAGCTTATTACAAAGAGGATGAAATGCTGAAAATTTCCCTTGCTTACAGTATACAGGTCCAATTTTTAGTTTCTAAGATATTTTAATTCATATGCAAAAAAAAAAATCAAAAATTCACTGGTGTGATTATAGTAGAAAAGAGCCTTAATTAATTCTCAATTGTCTTCTAATTCCAGACAAATCACAGTCACTTCATTGTTCATTATAATCTCTTATAGGGGAATAAATATTCCAGCGTAAAATATACTTTTCTTTCTCTCTTTTCTCCACATAAGTGCAGCGCGATTATGAGTTTGAAATAATAGAAAGAGTGCTAGAGGGTTAATTGATAAATCCAATGCATAGTCAGAAATTGCGTTTTGGAATAATCTATAAATTACATTTCCTATTCCAAATATTATTGAGATCTATATTTACCGAAAAATCTATCTTTCTAACTTCATGAGATGAAACAAAAAATCTTTTGTTTTCATTTCATGAAAAGAAAACAAAAATCAAAAAGTCTTTACATAAGGAAAAACATCTTGCTAAGATCCACTGCCTGGACTTGTCCCCCTCACCAATACCAGTACTGCAACTACCAAACTTATGTGGGAAATCATCATCATTAGCAATATCACGAAGCTTATTTTATAAAAATAATTGATCGAGTAACTTCGTATATTACAGCTTTAAAAAAAAATTCTTTTGTGGCGGAAAAAATCATGTAAATAGAAATCTTATCGATAATATGTCTACAATTAATTTATTCTATAGAATAACAAAAAATACATTGTTTCGGAATGATAATTATTGTATTATTTTTTATATTTGTAGGAATATTCAAATTAACTTGAAATTTTATATTGGCTTCTTCATTATATTATGTAAATTACTTTAGAAATAAAAACCTTTTTCAGATGATAGTATATTATTTGGTAAATATAGGAATCTGAACTTGTACTGTGATAATCACTAGGGGAAGAAATCAACATTCATTTAGAATAAGATGATTATGTTATTTTAAAATTATTAATGTTCTTTTTTAAATCGATAGAAATACTTTTTAGTAGTAAGAGTTCTTCATTTATTAAATTTATAGTTGTATAGGTTCAGATTCCCCTCCCCCTATCATGATTGTTAGTAGTTCAAAATTAGTAATTTCCGAGTATACAGAGATCTTTAAAATCTTCAGAGTTAATTAATAATTTCAAATTAATGCGATTATTATTATTTTTAATAGCAAATTACAGATATAAATATAAAAAGAAGAATCAATACCTGCAAAATTATATCACATTTTGTCAAGCGATTTTCAATCAATATTACCTGTTATTTGACCTACAAAAATGAAAATATTCTAAAATAGTCAGAGAATTGACAGACATACTTTTTAAATAAAATTATGCTTTTGAACTGCTAAAAATAATTTGTAACTTATTCCACTGGATGAATAAAACTGATTAACCCTGCATTTTTTAGAATCAATTTTTCAGTATATAAATTGTTAAAACTAAATTTAAAAGAATTTCATTTTGTCCCAACAACAATTAAATAAATTCATTACGCTATTATTACGGAATTTATTGACGCAGACTGGGGGGTACTGAGCTGTGGCACAACTAACGTGGCGCTGAAGGAGGGGTCAGCCATTCTGTGAAGAAAGTCTCTTCTTGTTGTGTTGATTACAAATGTGATAATTTTTCGTATTTATTTATATTTGTGATAAGAAGAAGTAAACATGTCCTCCTCAGGAGATTTCGGAAATCCGTTGAGGAAATTTAAGCTGGTTTTTTTAGGTGAACAAAGTGGTAAGTGACCTGTCATCAATTCATCTTTATTGTTTTATGATCTTTTAAGGTTTCCATATGAAGTTTAATTGATTCTTTAAATGATTGACATCACTGTTAATTCTGAATTAATGAATATTTATCGGTCATTCATAATTTTTTTAATAATAGTCAACATTACTATTAATATTGAGCATTAAAAAAGACATTCTTTTTAAAATTTATCTGCTATTTCTTAGATCTATGGCTAAAATAAAATCATTTTGTGTTTTTTTTTTATAGTAGTTAGTAACTGTTGCCTTTCAAGTAAAGTAGTTTCCTTTTATATATGTTTTATTTCCTAGTTAAGTTGTATGACATCAATTGATTTGATAAGTGGATGACCAATATTGATAAATATGTACAATTATAGATCAGAATTTTTTTTCATTGTATACTTTTACCTAAGATGTAATTATTGTTACTGTGGGGTTAACAACATTATCTGTCAAAAATGGATTGTGTCTATTCATGGCTACTGTTGCATTATATAATTAATGTTTCTTGCCAATTAATTTTTAAAAACATTTAATTCCTGTTATAAACTTGTATTCCCTAGTTTTACGGTTGCCTAAAGTTTATAGCCGTGTAAGGTCCCATTATATGAAGGTCTTAACCTTAACACTTTCACCCTTTTCTGCTATCAACTTACTCACTCTATATATAAAATATATGCATCTAAGGCACCAATTATAAATATATTTGTTTTAATTTGATGAGGTTTATTTTAATATAATTATTACAATATTTGTTTAATCTCAAATTAGTGAAATTTCAATATTTGATTTACCGTGTCAAATTATGTAGATTGTTTTTGATGATTGACGTGTTGGATGTAATTATTATTTAAAGTAGACTTGTTCAGATATTTAGGTTTAATTATATTTGAATGTTGCATTAGTAGAGTTGTATAATTTTTTGAAGGCTTTTAATTGTTGATTTATAAAATAAAGCTCCTAATTTTCCTCTTCGCATCAATTTTAATGTTATCAATAAAAAGAATGTGGATTAAGAAGTTTCTAACATGTTTAGTAATATTTGGATTTGGCCTGCTCAGTATTATTTTAGTTTGCACAATCATTCTTGCTTAATGTTTAAACTACAGTAAATCTATGTTTTATGATTTTATAGTATTTTTCAAATTTATTTTTACTATCTGATAACATTAATTACTGTGTTATCGTTTAAAGTATATTGTCTTTATAATTTTTTTCTGTTATAAATTCGAGTTTTTGAATAACAACAAGGATCAATCTTTTGGGGAACTTATGTTTTTTTTTTAATTGCTCTTAAGGGAAGACACAGTATTGATCTGTTTAAAATATAATCTAGAGTAGTAAATCTGGATTTAAGATCAATAATATTATTTTAAATAATTGATTAATCATCCTTTAAAAATAACAGATTAATATAATAATTGCAATAGCTTTGGTAATGTATATTATTATCCTGGGCTGTCAAGTGCTACTTTTTAAATGTTCTTATCTCATCAAGTAATATTTATTATTTTCTTATATTAACAACTCTGTTATTGCAATACATTTGGTTTGCTATGTTCAAACACTTTTGTTTATAGTTAATGTCATTGTGTTACTTCATAAAATGTCTTTATTTATTGATTAAAATCTGTTGTGTTAAAAAGAAAATAACAATTCATTCTAAATTTATTTAAAAGTTTCTGTTAATAAATTAATAATATCTTTAATGCCTATTTTCATCACCGAATATATTGCTTCAACCCGTACTTATGAGGGGTTTTAATGCTTGTAAGTTTTTGAAGTAACTCTAGCTTTGAGAATTGCACTATAGCACTTATCAGTTCCAGTTCCAGTCTGTTTCTCTGGAAATAAAGTAGCATTATTGGGGGATTTGTAGTTTTCAAATGTGTATTCTGTAACTTGTATAATATAAAAAAAAAATTAAGAATTTAAATTTATTTTTCAGTGGGGAAAACTTCCTTAATTACCAGGTTTATGTATGATAGCTTTGATAACACATACCAAGTAAGTTTAATGGAATTTATAAATATGATTTATTATGAATTAAAATTACAATATTTTTAATTAATTCTATTAATTTAATTTTAGGCAACAATAGGTATTGATTTTCTGTCGAAGACCATGTACTTAGAAGATAGAACTGTAAGTTTTTTTGGTTGTTTTTTAATATTTTATGTTTTATAAGTTTTTTTGGCTTTTTCTTCATAGGAAGCCAATACTTATTATAATTTTTTTTTAATAAGATTTTTTTATTTCTGTTATTATTATAATTTTATTTCACATGCAATAACATTTCAAAACTTATATATTACATTTTTTAATTTCGTTTACTATGGACCTTGGTGAAATATGTTTGATCCCTGAAGTGAAACAAAGTAACTTTTAATTTAGTATTAATGTGCTATTGATAACCTAAACTAAGGATTGTCGATTTTTATTTCCAAGCTACGATCATATGTGCTTCACTGGCATTATTGTAGTATTTGGTTATTTGGTATTTCATTTTTATGTAATTGGAAATAAATTAAAAAAAAAATTAGTTATTGTAAATTAAATTTTCTCATTTATATTATTGTTCATTTCTTGCCTTACATTTGAAATTCTATGACTTTGAAATATATTACTGCTTTCCATCTATTTGAAATACATGTTCTGTTTTTTTTTATCAAAATACTTTTTGGATCACTATAGTTATCAATCTATACTCGCTTAGTCTGTTAAAAACAATGTAATTATTGTTTGATTCAATAGTAGTAATAAATTTTAAAATTCATATTTATGCATATGATAGTATCTAAAGAAAACAATAAAAAACATTTATTTTTGTCAAGTGTTTATCCCTAAAAAATTATTAATACATTATTTTAATAGCTATTTTTGAATGGATCCATGATAATAATTGTTCACTGAATTTAAGCACTGACTACATTGATTATTTGTTCTTGTTTCCATCAAGCTAGTTATTATTATTTTTATCATCTTGTAAATTAATAATAGAGATCACATGAAACGTATCTATACTTTAGAGGTTAAACCTTTTACCTCTAAATGTCTATTTTTTTACTTTCACTTACCTATGTATGAAATATATTGTAAGGAACAGTATTGCAATCGTGAAAATTTTCGAATATGAGTTTTCAATGGAAATACTTGTTTTGTGGTTTCCTGAGTCCAAATAACTAAGTCCCGCAAAATGGTCTGTGTGTTCATGCGTTTATCTGTATGTATCTGATAGGTCTAGCTCATAAACGAAAAGTCATATGAAAGTGAAGTTGCATATTTAAGGTTTGCATATACCTGAGATGTTACAGCAACTTTTTAGTCAAAATCAGCTAATCGGAAGTGGCACTTTATATCATCAATCAAACACAATTTTACTATTTTCTCGAAAACAGCCCCAACGAATTTGATTAAATTCATTATATCAGTGTAATATTAAGCAGTTTTTAATATTCTGTAGGTTTTATTCTCATTGATGTCCTCTACGAGGAGTTAAATGGCTAATTTTCAATATTAGCTTCCTCTAAATTATCTATAATTCCCATGAGTATAAGGTTTTATGTCATTCATTACATATTCTGATTTCAGTGGTATTAAGCTAGAAGTCTGAAATTGCATTATTAAACAAATAATGAGTGGTAAAATGGTAAACAAAATAAGAAAATAAACTTTTCTCAAGAAAAGTCATATTTTTCTTTCATCTTTCAATTTTATAAATGTAACAATTGATCTTTTACCTCAGTTATATAAATATTGAGAATAGTTGTAAAACTGGTTGATAAAGTAATTTTTATTTTCTTTGAAGCATGCAAACATATTAAATCTTCTTCCTGGGATAAATATTTTATTACTTATATGATCTGCTCACATAATCAACAATGCAGGGCTGTGCCCCATCTGCAGTAATATTTTTTTTCCTATTGTTCCTAAATATTGTCATACATGAGTCATCCAAATATCATTAGAAAAATGATAACATAATTTTTTATCAATATCATTTTCTAATATCTTTTTACATATGTTATAAATAGGCACATTTTACTCTTACATCCATTGTTACCCTAAATGTATCCAAAATTTTTAATTTTTAGTTTAATTTGTTAAAAAAAAGTTGTGAATAAATTTTTTTTTTACTCTTTATCTTTTAAATTTTATGAGGAGTCTTTAGAAAAACACTATTTTAACTATTAATGTAAATTTATGATTTATTTGTCCAATGTTCACATTCACTTACGTAGACATTCGGTGTCATCGTCTTTATCGTCGGAATACAATTTTTCTTGCTTTAGTATTTTTTAAAATCATATTTTAACCTCTTTTTGTCATTATTCACAGTAAAATTATGTCAAGTTTAAATAAAGTTTTTTTTTTAATAATTTCAATTACTGTAGAAGTATTAGCAATGCCTCCTTGTAATAAGTGTGATATGATAGTGAAAATACAAAATAAATGTCTGAAAATACAAAATAAATATCTGAAAATACAAAAGTAAGAAGGATTGTATTCTGAAGAACAAGATTCAGAAATATAAATGAATTGTTGGTAATTGACGAATTAATATAAAAAAAGGGAGTTGAATTTCATTAACAGTTAATAAAAAAAGGTGTTTTCTCTTTTTATGAATTTAGTTAATGCAGCACTTCAATTAAATAAGGCTTTCAATGAATTCTTGGAGATGTTTATATAGAGCTTCCTAATTGTTTTTTCTTTTTTTTTTTTAGGTTAGATTACAGCTCTGGGATACAGCTGGTCAGGAAAGATTCCGTAGTTTGATACCTTCGTATATCAGAGATTCGACCGTAGCTGTTGTAGTCTATGACATTACAAGTAAGTACTTTCAAGATTTTAATTACTTCGCTACAACACAACTAAAGTTATGTTTGTACAATAATATAAAATATGTTTGGCAGAACTTATTTCACATTTATCTTCTTGTGATTATAAAGTCCACTGTTCATGGTTCACTCATTCCTTTAATTTTCATGTATTGTATTCTGGTTTTAAGGAGCACTAACTGCAATAATTTTCCTTATTAACCATGTCTTTTGTTTTTATTTCAGTGCTCACCATTAGTCTTTGTTTCAATTTTTTATTTATCATTGCTTTGAAATAGTACTTTCGCCGTTTAGATCTCTAAACCTTGTCCCATTTCGTGTCATTGCAAGGAATAAATTAACTATTATTGTTTTCCTGACACTCCATAAAAAAAACACTGATTATATTGTAGAGTTGTGCCCTTGAATTTTAATGACATTAGTTGTGTACTTTAGTGAGTTATTATTTCAACTTAGTATTTTTAAAAAATTATATTGTTAATAGATTTTAATTTTTAAAGGTCAGTTTTTTATAGTGTTGACTATTGTTGAATACAACAAAAATAACTTTAGAAATTTGTTTTTGTATTACTCTTCTGTCTTTTTCCAATATTTAACTTTATCAAAACGTTTTGGGACTGTGTTTATCACTTTAGTAAGAAAAATTATGTAAAGTTGACAGTTATGGTCTACTGTTTGTCATGATAATGTCAACAATTTTTAATCATGGCAAAAACAATGCTTTGTTTTGATCAATTATTGTGTTGTTCAGATTATTGTAGCTATAAACCTCTGCATAGTTTGCCTAGGTTTTTGTAAATTATTAAATATTCAGACTTAGTATAATAATTTTGAAATAATTGGAATCATTTTAAGAATGGAGTTGATATTTTATAAACTAATAAATTCAGAGTTGTTATTCAATAAAAATTATAATACAAATTAATTTATTTAGTTGACTCTTGATAACTTGAACCTTAACAACCCAATTTTTTTTTAGTAATTCCCTCCATTTTGCTCTATTTTTAGCTTTGTTTTGGGTTTTGTTAGTTGAAGACCAGTGCTTCATTTAAAGAACCCTCCGGGTTTGGCCTTTTTCTCATCATTCCTACACCTGATAACGCCTTCCTGTTTTTTTCCCCCCTTCCTTACACGTTTTTTAAAATGTCTCTGAAACAGTTGTAAAACTGACAAAAGCCGAGGAACAGAAGTTTATCAATGTAGTCTAATAAAAGCTTGATGGAAATAGTGACATTACCAAGAAATTCTGCTTATTGTTAAATACCTTATCAACAATTTTGAAAAATTGGATTAAATATGACAGGATTGGATTTGATAAATTTTGATGTATGTTTTCTTAAATAGCTGGAACTAGAGTATTTTATGCAAGAAAGTTGGCAGGTTTGCTACAAAAAATAGGGCACAAAGGATTTCTTACATCTCGTGGAAGGCTTGTCTACTTAAAATAAAAAATCATAATGTTTTTTTAATAAGTTTTTTTTTTTTATCCACTCATAAAAGAGATGAATTATTGAAGGAAGTTAGTCAACTATTCTACATATCATTGGTGATAAATATTCAGGACGCAGTCATTATTAAGTTTTTATTAGTTCCGACGTTTCAAATGTAACATGTGGGTCATCATCAGGGCTGAAAATTTTTAAATACAATCAGAGATATAATATTATACGACCGATAATGGTTAATAATAATTTATAGTGATTGATGGTACATGAATCTAATGAATACAATACAGAATATTACAAATGAAATATGTAAAAAGTTATACAAACTAAAAATAATGTATATAACCCATTTATAAAAATTGTAATATTTCCTCTTACTAACCGTGGTTCGAGCACTGAAGTTATTCAAGTACTGTACATTTGGTAAGTTAGTGAAAGGGTTGGAGGAGGATTTCCCAGTTGTTTTTTTTCAGATAGCAAAAGGTAGGTAAACTTAGTCAGAGGGGGGGAGGGCTAACATTTCTTTTTGTAGAATGCAAATAATTTGCTGACTAAATATTCAAGATTTGTATTGTTTCTTATGGTTACAGAATTGTGACTATTGGGCCAGTAATGAAATGAATATAAGCACAGAGGTGCCAATCAATATAAATAGAACATAGTTTCATTGAAGGTAAACAAGGGTTAGCCAAATAATATTTATAATAAAGACAATTGTAATGGATTGAAATGATACATAGGACAATATATAATACAATATTTTAAGAATAACAATATTAATCATAATAGAAATATATATTATATTAATGATTACATAGTTTTAATAGTATAAGTATAAACATATCTGTGCCTGTTTATATTATATATTTATATTTAGAACGGACATGATATGTATATATATATAAAGTTAAAGCTTGAAATGTCGGCACTAATTAAAACTGTATAATGACTGCGTCCTGAATATTTATCACCCTTAAAATAGGTGCATAATTAGATATTTAAATACCTAATCTATGAGGGTATTTCTATTTAATTCCCTGTATCTTTGTTTACTATTTGAGTAGAAATGTGAAAAGTTCAATTAACTTGAGACCTTTATAACTTTATGTTGGTTATTTTAGATCTTGATTAATTGAAAAAAAAATGGTAACTTGAATTTTTCTATTTGTCTTTGGGGATTATCAAGATTTGACTATATTGGATTTTTATTTTTATGCCACTAATTAACTGCTTCTCTTTCTTAACTGGCAACATCTTAGATAGGACTGTGTTGTATAAGCAGACTGGTTTTACAGTATTTTTCTTTATTATTTGTTTATTCTTTTGCTTAAGCATTGCCACTTATTACAACTATAGAATTAATTTATGCCATAATTCATTTTAAAATTTTTTTTTTTTTTAATGTTTTTTTAATGTTATTCGTATCGTATTTCAAGTTTTATTAGTAGTTCTAAATTTAAAAAAAAAAGAAAAAAAAAAAAAAAAAGAGAGATGAAATTTAGTAAAATAGTTTTGAATTCACACTATTAATTAATAATTTAATTATATTAGTGCTGTTTAAAATATTAGAAATTCTCATTAGAGAACCCTATGTATTAATATTAACTTAATTATGACATTTTGTTATAAGTAATTTTGCAAATAACATTTGCATTAATTATGAAAATAGCATTGTCTGCAAACTACTTATGCTGAATGTTTAAGCTAGCTAAGAGGTTAGCTATTAATATTAATAAGTTAAGTTACTGCCTACTTTCCAATCCAACGGACTCGCCTCTTTGGGGTTATGAGAATTTTACCACACTTTCATTTCCCTTTCACTCAGTATTTTGATAAAGTACTAATTGACTGTGGGAAGTAGAGTATGTGAATATTACAATCTGCAGCTGTCTCAAAGTTTATAATCTTAAAATTCTTTATCTAAACTATATTCTTGTAATTGTATAGCTATAAGGATTTGATACTAATTAACAAGTATTAAATTTCCTTAATTAGCAATTAGCAATCTGTGGTATAAGCAGAAAAAAAAGTCTCTGGATGTTAATCTAACTATAAGCAATATGTAGATTTTTGATGATTTGTATAAAAAACAAAACAAAACTATTCCACTGCAGCCCATGAAGTGTCTTGGTTCAGTATTTTGTGAGGAGTATTAAGTGAGAGTTAATATTAAAAGAGTGTTTCAAGGCCAACGGTTATGCTACTAGGAAGGTGATCAGGTAGAGATCATGCTCAACCACTATGTTTTTTCCTTTAATTAATTATTTAATTAAGAGTATCCACATTATAGAGTATGGATGTGCCCCAGGAGGGTCTCCCGATCCCCAGGGTGAATCCATGGCTAATGAAAACGGATAAATGATTATATCCATCAGCAGGATTCGAGGTCAGTGACTTACCCACTCCACTCCTCTTTGACGCGTTATCATATCTTGACAAATAAGGACACTGATTTAGTTACTCTTCTAATATTTCTCGTGTAGATTTTTAATAAGACTTATTAGAGTTTTTTTTTTTTTAATTTAATGATCCTGCTCACATTAAGATTGTTTTTATTTTTACTTTCACTTACCTATATGTAAAATATATAGTAAGGGTAAGTATTGCGATCGTGAAAATTTTTGAGTCTTGAGTTTTCAACGAAAATACATGTTTTGAGGTCTCCAGGGTCCAAAGAAACAAGTCCCGCAAAATGGTCTGAGTGTGTGTGTATGTATGTTATCAGTCTTGCTCAAAAACAAAAAGTTTTATGAAAGTAAAATTGCATATTTAAGATTTTTAGAAGCTTTCGATGTTACAGCAATATTTTCGTCAAAATTGGCAAACCGGAAGTGGTACTTTATTTAATCAATTTAACACATTTTTACGATTTTCTCAAAAACAGCTCTAACAATTTTGATCAAACTTAGTATATCAGTGTATTATTAAGCAGTTTTTAATATAATGTAGGTTTTATTCTCATTGATGTTCTCTATCAGGGCTTATATGGCTAATTTTCAATATTGGCTTTCTCTAAAATACTTTTATTTTTCTTTATTTGAAATAATTAACCATTTCACATTAATCTTTGATATAAAAAATAGCTAAATATAAAATATGAAAGAATTTGATAATTAACTAAAGGAGAAATAAGAGATAAGGTAATAGTTGTAATAGAAGAATCAAAGGAATACGAGCTCGCCCGAAAATTACAATAGGCTTCCATAGGTAACATGAGCTTCATATAATACGGATTCCAACAATATTATGTTCAAATACATATGCGTTTTTATAAATACTATCGTTGGTATTATTTAATATTTAATTGTATAGAATACAGCGATATAAAAATTAAAATTTGTATATATATATAACGGTATTTAAACAAATAAAAATACCCACAATGAATTGTTTTTTTTTTTATTTATTTCTTAATGACATTTACAACGGTATTACATAAATACATCAAGTAAATTTAGACATAATAGATATAATGACATGAATACACTTGCTGAGTAACTACCCAATGGTAGCACTCTAATGATATGACTACATTAGGAGATCACGGGGCCATCTTCTTTTCAGATGCCTCGGAGGGTTATCAGGAATTAAAGAGGAACCAAGGTTAGAAACGAGAGGGTTGGGATGATTCTGAAGTTTATCATGGAAGGATAGGTATCTGGATTGGGCCAGATCTGAAACATAAGGAACATTAAGATCTTTATGGGATAATTTTATTAGTGACAAAATAAGGAGCGTAAATTGAGGATTTTACAAAGGATTTTGGATTGTAAGGATTGGATGCGAGAGGAATTCGATGGTTTAGTGGAGCCCCATAGCTCAACTCCGTAAGTCCAAATAGGTCTTATTATAGTCAAGTATATGAGTCTTTTGTAATTAATGGGAAGTTTAGAGCGTTTGTCTAGTAAGTGCTGAAGTAATCGGAAACGTCGAACGGTTTCTTGTCGTTTCAGTCTAGTATAAGGATTCCAAGTTAGTCGTTTGTCCAGGTGGAGTCCTAGGTATCGGATTTGCTCAACAGAGATAAGTGAAGTATTGTTAAAGGAAATTGTAGGATAGGAAGTCGTTGGTTTACAACGAAAGGTAAAGGTAATTTGGTGGGATTTATTAGAGTTTATTTTAGTTCTCCAGTTTTGACACCATTCTTCTAGATTTATGATGTGTGATTGAAGCATTTGGGATGCAATTGCTGGGTCATTGTTTACCGATAGGATACATGTGTCATCGGCATATGTGGTGATGACAGGATAATGAGGAAGTATGTAGGTGGTAGGAATTTTCGGAGTTTGTACAGCAGTCCCGGGTGACAATGAATTGTAAATAAATATAGCATCAATAATTTTTACTTTAACCTCCCCTTTGTCTGGTAATATTTATTTCAGCTAAGAAGAGGGTGGTAAGTGAAAGTCAGGTGATGCGCTTTTTGTTAACTTATCAAATTTGTCTATTTTATATAAATTATATAGTTTTTGATACTGAAATAATTCAGTAATAATAATATTTTCTACAGATGCCAATTCATTTCATCAGACATCAAAATGGATCGATGATGTACGGACTGAACGAGGCAGTGATGTCATCATCATGTTAGTTGGTAACAAAACCGATTTATCCGATAAAAGGCAAGTTTCTACAGAAGAAGGCGAGCGCAAGGCGAAAGAGTTAAATGTGATGTTTATTGAGACCAGTGCAAAAGCAGGCTATAATGTTAAACAGGTATTTTATTTTGTATTTAAAAAATGTGAATAATTTTATTAAACTTTTGTTTTCAACTGATAAATATTTATTTATTATTTAATATTCATTAACAGTTTAGCTTATGATGTAACTGATTAATAATTCATTGGTTGCAGTGTAGATCTGTCCAGTTTTTCAATGAAAAATTGCAACTTTTCAGGAACGACAAAAAGTGTTTAAAAAATTTAATTTTCTGAATGCTCAGGTTGTTAACCAAAAGACAGTTTCTTTTTTATATTACTTTATTTTAGCCTTCGGTGTTAAATACCATGCGAAGAGGAGTTCCTTCATTAACAATCATTCCCATCTCTTTTTCAGTTTCAGCCAACTTAAAAAACTCACTTTTGAGCGACTTGAAGGATCTTGCAATGAAATTCAGATCATCTGCAAAGTCAAGTACTTGAACAGACTTATTAAAAATAGTGTCTGTTGTCTGTATTCCCAAGTCATGTGCGACCTTTGCCCAAGCTAAACTAAATAATACGTTCCTAACATATGCAATAAATTGGAGGTTATCGTTTAGAAAACAACCTGAGCATTTAGAAAATATAGAACTGTCAAATATTACTGATTAATTAAATTATATACCTAATAATTTCATTATATTGAGGATTTTTTTTTCATATCCTAAAAATGTGATGGATTATTTATTTTATTATTTAAAAGTTTATTTTATAATTCATTTAGATTATAAAAATTGCTTCGTATTATAATTTGGTTTTGTGTTGCAGCTGTTCCGCAGGGTAGCCGCAGCACTGCCTGGCATGGACTCTCCAGAAAACAGACCTCCTGAAGATAGTATCCTTTGTTTTTTTATTTTTATAATTTTGCAGCCTTTGATGCACTTGCACGCCTGCATAAAAATTTCTATGCATGCTCTAATGACTGTCTAATTGCACTTAATGTTTACTTATTACTTCTTTTCTAAACATTTATTTATAATGTTTCTAAATTCTTTTTTTCCTTACTTGGATACAGGAGAATTCTAGTTTTCTATTACAGCATTATTAATTTTATAATAATTTAAAAACTACAATAGCTTATGTACATTTGTTACCTGTCATGAAAGATTGATAGTGATGCAGTTTAGTGGATAGAATCGTTTTGTTTTTCGGAACAATTTAAAATATAATTAATTTTAATCAGTGCTTTAATAAATTATCTATTTTTTGTTTAGTTCAATTCCAAATAGGTTATTACATACTTATAATATTTGGTTGATCTTTTATTTATTTCAGAACAAAAGCGTTACAGAAATTGGAAACAAGCGTTATTTTAAAGATAAGTTTCATATTTAAATATTCCAACTATTAAATCAAAATCATTTATTTACCAGATGAAATTAATGTAATATCATGTTAGTGTTTTGTATGATTGAGGCATCTTAAATTTGTTAGTAATCTTTATTCATTAATTTAAAGCTTCAAAAGATCTATTTTAATAATTAAGCAGAATGCATCAAAACATTATTTGCTTAATCTTTTATTTAATTACATGAAATAACTAATACTGAACCATGATGTCTCAATTTAGCTTGTTATAAGATGTTTTTTATTTCAACTTCAGCCTCTTGATTTGAAAGCTTTAAGAGTGATTATTTTTCATTTTTATGTTTGTCAAAACAGCTAATTGATTTTAAAAGCCAAATTTTATTAATTTTTTCCACAATTTTTTACTTCCTTGACTACCTATCAAGAAATTAAATAATTGGGGAATTATTATTTTTATGTTGAAAATCAATGGTATTAATGTAAGATAAGATTTATTTTCCTCTGGATTAATTGATGTCTTAGCATGCTATGTTTTGCCAATGATGCACAATTTTATTTGAAATCCTTATGAAATATTGTACAATCCTGTTTTCAATTTTAATTTTTCCTTTTTTATTTCCATTACTTTCCCTGTTCTATCCAGCAATGGAGTGATAGAAGATATCTACTTTGTATTGGTGCTTACGTTCCCTTTTTTTCTGGAAACCATAATTACTCAGAAAAGAATTTCCTTTCATTCCTTATACTTTTCAAGCAGAATATTAAAAATGGAAACATAATTTTGTTTGATTTGTCATTACTTCTCATAAAATTATTGTTGGTCTGTCTAATCTTGTATTCTGTCTATTCATAGAAAATTTGCATAACTCCAAAGATATTCTTCACTATTTGTCCTGATTAATTTTTGTTTTAGAAGGGTTTATTCATTTTTATGTTTCTGATTCTTTAATTGCATTTTGAAACTCTTGAAGCAAAATCTCTTCTTAACCCAAATTTTCTTTATATAAATAAATTATCTTATCTTTTTATAATACAGGAGAGCTATTTTTATTTTTATTTTGTGCCATAACCAAGAGCTCCTCGTATTGAAGCATGCCACAACTCTACTCTCTCCCTCCTGCTTAAAAGACTGCTTTTCCAGCAGATTTTACTCTTCCACCACAATGATAATAGTTTTAGGTATAAAAAGTTCAAATATCAAAATAAAAAAAAGAGGTTTTGATGGTTTAATTTGCTGCATTACAATCAATCGCCATGGATTAAGCATAAATGAAATAGATTTATTTTATTTTAACACTAATGGTTTTTCAGTTCTATATTTTTTTTTAATTTAATAAAACTTTTCTTTACTTTTTTGAATTTGCCATTTTATGTAAAATGTGTGTTTTGTTTTTTTCAAACTTTTAAGTAAATTTTTTTGCTGAACACATTAATTTCTGAAAGAACATGTTAAACTTTCGTAATTCATCGTTTATGGAAAGTACACGTCTTGTGTCTCACACTGGGCTATATCAAAATTAGATAAAAAAGTTCCTCTAAAGGCACAATCAACCAATAATATAAAAAAAAATGTGACTATTTTGTTATTTCTGAAATTTGCTTAGGCTGACTTCAGGACTGTCTCCAGTTTGTATTGCTTGAAGGTCTTGCATTCAGTGCTTCGTTAAGAAATACTGCTTCAAGGCCAACGTTTGTGCAGGGAGGTGTTCAAGCCAAGATAATAAATGTAATGAGTACTCATTAATTACCAAGAGTTGTATTGGAGTGAGTGAGTGCTTTATTGGTAAAATATTTAAAGAAATTTTTATCATCAATTTCCAAAAAATCTTAAAAATTTTAATATTAATTTGAAGTGCCTATTTTGTGATTATAGAATTCTTGGGTGACTACTACTATGCTCATAGTGCCTCTAATATGCTACACTTTACCTAATTTATTCCCGTAATGAATGTCAGATATTAATTTTATTTAATCTTGGCTGTGGACGGAATACCTACCTTCCCGTTAGCAGTTGCGTCTCCTGTGCGAACGGGATACCTGTCTCGGCTATCAACATTTGTAGCAGTATGGGAAATTCTCGCTTCCACCGTTCCCCATGGGCTTTCATTGGTGTGCATTCATTAGTCCTCTGGAGGTCACTTAAATAAATTTAAGGGAAAAAAAAATTGTTTTTTACGAACGTCTTTTTTGATTTTGGGACTCGCCATCTGGAAGAAATTATGAGGTCTCATAGTCAAATGGTTGAGTTTTGGGGAACTCTTTTTTCCTGATCATTATTTATTGCATAATAAAATTATTTGTAAATTAAATATCTTAAAAACTATTTACATGATTTCATATTACATATTTTTGTTTGATACTAACTTAATTCTGCACTTTCACCCGTTTTAAAACTTGGGTTGTACATGCCACATGCTGAGTACTTCTTATACACGACGAGACCAATTACATTTAATAATAAAAGCTTCTAAATTTGGTAATTTTATTCCAACAAGAGAGTGGAATAGCTCAGTGGGTAAGCATTGACTTCCAAAGCTCTTGGTTCCTAGTCAGAATCCGGCTGATGACAAGTAATTTTTCATCAGTCGTGGATTGACCATGAGTCAGGATATCTTCCTGGGGCACACCCAGCCTCTCTAAAGTGGACACTCTCAATTAAGTAATTGATTAACGGGAACATCTGGTGGTTGAGTGTGATTCTGGCTCGATCACCACCCTGCATAATCGTTGGCTTTGATGCAGTATGTCTTACATAATACTGAACCCAAGACCCTTCATGGGTTGTGGTGTGGTGCAGGTTTTTTTTTTTATTCCAACAAAGCTATTTATAAATACAATATTATTATTTAAATTATCTAAAGTAAACTAACAGTACTTCCAGCTTTAATAGTATTTTTAAGTTTTTCTCTATCTCCTAAGCATATATTGGTTTTCTTGGTAACCTGATATAGACGAGACAACATACGTTTGTCTGTGGTAAAAACAAATCTTCTCTTAAGTTGATTCCAATGATATCTAGTTATTCTAGCATAATTTCTTTAGTTTTCCAGATTGATTAAGTCATTGTAATTGTTATTTTCCTGTAGGTGATAGGGTGGTGTTACAAAGCCTAGTACCTTCTTTATCGTCTGCATAACTTATTGATGATAAAAAGGTTCCCTGCCTATGGCACTATAGTCTCTCATTCGTTCCTCTAATTTCAATTTTGATAATTGAAATCCAGTGGTTGTCTTTGCCATGCAATCGCATTCAACTATAATCCATCTCATAAGCAATTATTTTATATTTCTATTGGTTTTCCTAGTATTATGTTTAATTGCGTTAAGGTTGTGTATTATATTAATTTGAAATTAACGATGTAATTGCAACAAAGTTTAATTTTTCCTTTTTAGCTGTTAATGTGTGAAGCATTATTTAACATTTTTCCAGGGAGCTATGTGCAGAATAACCCTTAAAGCAATTGGCTAAACTTTGGTGTCATATTGGAAATTTGATGTTTAATAAACAGTTTTTTTTTTTTATCAAAATGGGTCTGCAAACCAGTTTCTAAAAAAATAAAATTGTAATTTTAGAATGATTTCAAAACTGTGAGTACTAACTAATAAAACCTGAAACTACCTATGATACATAATTTACACTAAAAACAGCAAGATCTGTTAATTAAAATCTCAAGTGGTTCGGTGATTAAAAGTATTTCAGTCTAACTAGTTAAACACATGATTTGTGGATCCATGTTTATTTGAACATTTTTTGAACTTCAAGTTTGTAATAAGATAGTAAGTTTAGAGAATTACTTTCAGACTAATCTGTGTGCACATATATTTAAACAATGCTATTTTTAGTTTGTTTTCATATCATAAACTTTTTAATTTTTTTCTTTTCTTTTTACTTTCTATTAAGTTTTTAATTTTTCTTTGTTTTATTTTTTTTTATTTTGTCAATCTTTCTGTTCCTTAACGAATGCGCTGCAGTGCAAGAAATAATGCTGAAAGATACCCCAGCTGAGGGAAATAATGCAGAGGGAGGTTGCGCTTGTTAAACTGAGCCCTGAAACCTGCCATCAACGGTTCTGGGACCATTCCTTTTTATATACTCGTTTTTTTTTTGTTTTTGTTTTTTTTCCTCTTTTATAAACTATCTTGTTTATTTTTGTCATTTGTTCCTCTGTTTTGTTTTATTATATACTTATATTTTATTATTATATAAAAGCAAATAGGAAAAAAAATAATAACTAAAGACTTAAATTCCTGGGAATTAGTACCATCCATTTTTAAGTGCCCTTTAAGTTGTATTTATTTCATTGTGCGCTTTATGTATAAGTATGTTTTATGTATTTATCTTTATTGTACTTAAAAAAGGATGGTTAACATATTTAATACTGATAATATTTAATCTGTCCTCTATATTTTTTCTAAAGTATTAATATTGCTAATGAAATTCCTATGCTAGGTGATAATTGTCATTTTCCCATCTTAATATATGGGCTTTGAATACTGTTAGTATAATATTATTTGTTTAAAAACTAATAATAATATTTTTAAAGTGGAAAAAAAAGGAGACTTCGCTTCTATGTTTTTCTTCAAAATAGTACTAAAATTTTACTTATTTTATTTTTTTAAAGTATCATATAATCATTTGTTCGACTTTCTGTACATATTATTGTAAAAACAAAATATATATTATTTATTAATTAATTTATAATTTTTTTTATACCTTTTTTGTTAAGAAGAAATTATAATTACATTCCTTTTAAGGAGAAAAAAAATCATAGCATTGAAAATATAATGATTCTCATAAATCAGTTATTAATTTAAATAAAAAGAAAATAAATTTCAATATTTTTAGTTTAGCCATGATAATACCAACTCATTGTGTTCCATTGCTGATTTCATTTTATAGAAATATTGAATTATAATAATTCAATGAAGACTTTTGAATATGGATTCATTTTTTTTTAAATGTATGAAGTTATATATTTTTTTAAATATTTTAATTAAGGTAAGTATGCCTAGATAAAGAAAGATTTGATTCATTTAGTTTTACTTCATTTAATTTGATTTTTTAAATATATATATATATATATATATATATATATATATATATATATATATATATATATATATATATATATATATATATGTATATATATTTATATTATTCTTATTTAAAGCTTTGAATAAGTCGAGCTTCATCAGCTAATTGCTTCAACTTTGAATGTGCTGTGGACGCATCTATCATTGCTTCTAAAAGCTTTCTAAAATATATGCTATAAATGCTTTCATTATGTATGAGTATTATTTGTTATGCTTTGCATCCAGCCTCAAAATTAAAATGGTTTGAGTTATATTTGCTTTAATATACATATATCCCATTATGTACCCATTTACATGTATTATTTTATATAATATAATTTATTGATATGTATTGTAGTAGTGATTAACTACTGGGTTAAAATATGAAATATTCTTGTTGGAATTTCATGTTTTCCAAATAGTAAAATGATATATATAGTATTTATTAAAAATTCATGAATTGGTGGGTTCAATAATAAAAATTGAATACATATTTTAAATAAATTAAATTTTTTTCTTACTGAGTTTCCTCCAGTCGGAAAAATTCAATTCCAATTGAAAAATTCTTTAAAATTGTCTTTTAATTAGTTTTTGTTAATTTTCAAAATTTTATTATCATTAACATATGAATATTGCTGGGAACGAGTGTGTTAAGGTATTACCTTAGCAACTTCAAGCCAAAAGTGGTGCTGGTTCAATTTCGACTGGAGAGGGTTGAAATTTATTTTGTGGCTCATCCATGGAATGAATCTTTACCTTCCTACTTTGGCTAGAATAGGTTGGTTACCCACAGGATAACCAGCCCATTTTAAAAATATTTTTACCTAGTTGCTATAATATTTAGCTTATTCAATTTTGAGTTTCAATAATGATTAATCTATCAGGTCTCATTTTCTCAGTGTGTATAGTAAAAATTATCTTCCATCCTTGTCTAACTACGGTAAGGTCTAGTTTGTAAATCTAGGATTAAATCTTTTTAGCAACTTGAGGTTTACCATCTCATCATCTTTGATCAAAGGAAAGAGAATGTTTCTTCTACAAAGATTAAGAAATTGTAGGTTCTGGATAACATATATCTTAGATTTAAAATTGAATAAATAAATGAACATAAGTATTTAAATATATCATATCTAAGATGGGTGTAGGATGATTGACTAAATTAAAAAAAAAATTGGTGTAAATACTGAGAATATAATTTAAAAAGCATTACTTTTAATGAAAAACATGAAACAAATATTTGTCTAGAAGATATGAAATATTACTATAATTATGAGTGCCCTCATATCAAAGAGGACTGACATATGTCATTTTTTAAAAAGTTGTGTAAAAGCCAATTTTTGTAACAGCTTCAATTTAAGCCTATTATATAATTTTGTTCCATGATTCAACTTGGAACATTCTTTTTATGAAATTTTCAGAAACAATTTTGAATTAAATTGGTGAAACAAAAATTAAATTTTTCGCCACTTTCCGAAAATGATGTCAGTCTTTGATATGAAGCCATTCATATGTGAGCTCAAAAACTTAATCCAATTGTTTATTCATTTTTGGTCACAATAGAAACAAATAATAGCGCCTTTATATATATGCTAAAAATTAGATGTTGAACTCAAATTTAAATAGATAACTTAAACCAAATAGAAAAAGTTGATAAGATTAAGACTGGCTCCTGAGTTTCTGATTATTATTTAGTGTTCGATTAGCGACAAAAAAATACTCGGAAAAAGTTATTCCTTCTAAATGATTAATTCCCGGACATATATAATCCCTACTTATTTCCAAATATTTGTTAATTTATTCATTCAACTTCAACTTATTTTCAAGGTTCCTTTCACTCGTAAATTCTTGTTATGTTTTTTTTACCCTTCTTATACTATACTTGTTATACCATTTTTCCTGTATCATTTTGTTATATATGCATAAATTAAAGTAAACACTTTGTCCGCGTGTTGCCATATTTTATAAAATTTTCATTATTGTTTATTATCTGTAATGTCCTGATTAATTTTTTAAAAAATTTTCCTCAAGATTAGACAAGTGAATTAAGAAAAAATTATAAAAGTAATTCCAGTTCCCATTTACCCTTTTGAATTAACTAGTCCTGTACTAATTTTATCTTGTTGCCAGCTTTGGTCTGACTTAGTCCCAAATTAAGTGTACCCTTAGCACAGCAACTGGCCTTAAACTATTTGGAAATTGATAAAGGTAAGCTTAAATTAAAATTTAAAATAATTAAATATGAAAAAAATCGCTTACATTGGAAACTTGTGGTTTTATTTTATTGTTATTAAATTTTAGATTTTGAAGAGGGAGAAATAGCTCAAATTGTTCAAATAAAAATACTTTAAACACGATTGTTTTTTTAAAGTGACCTTCAGGCAAAATCGGAAGAGAAACAGAATAATGAAAGGTCAAGCATATGAACTATTTAATCTAAATTAACTGTTGGTACTGTAGTTCAGTTCAAACTTATTAAATGGATTTGACTAAAATCTAGAAGACAAATTTTTACAAATATTTTTTAAAATAATGATGTGCCCAACGCTCTACAATAAAATGGACAGAAAATTATTAAATAATAAGCTTTTGAAAGTGGTAAAAAAAAAAAATGTACGAAACGTCATGATAATAAAGACTAATAAAAATAATATAAAGACCTGATTAATCCTTCAGTGTGTAACTTCTAATTTTATTATTCATATAGAATTAGAGTTAAACATTATCAAGTAAACTTACTCACAAAATTCTCTTAACACTGGCAGACCATTTTACAAAAAAAAAAAAACGTGTAAAGTGGTCATGTAGTTTTTGCGGTTAGCGATTGCAAATGAAAAATGAATTTAAGATTATATAAAGTTCATTTTGCTATATTTAGACCTTTCCGATTTGATCATTTTTCAACTAACTATACGTATGTATATGTATATAAGGAAAACAATTCAGAGCATTCTTCATAAAACAGATAAATTTTGTCACCAAGTATATATTATCGCAGTTTTATTGTAGTATAATTTTTTTTTTTTTAATGAGTTATTACCATTATTGATTATATCAGCCAAAGAATTGTTTTAACCATAATCTGATTGAAATAAGAAATTTTTATTTTATTTTTTTGAGATACCTTCAGTGAAAAAGTATAAAAATGAGAAGTCTTAGACTATGGTGTATTTATGAACTTCGTTTGACATTTTCCAAATGGGAAGACCAAAACCTACCAATATGAATATTAATAATGATAAAATTTGTCTAGAATTTTATCAATTTATTGTTTCCTTGGGATTAACATTGAAACAATTTTTAAACTATGATTAAATAATTGTTGAAATATTCAAAAGAGAAATTGGAAATCATGCTGTACAACACATTTATTATACCTACATTATGAACTGATTTTGTCAAATTCTTAATTTTGACGTGTGATATTTGGCTTAAGTTATATTACGTTTAAGTTACAAATTGACTGTCATGAACATTGCCTAGATAAATCTGCTTATTTTGCATGTTATATCTCTTATATAGGCTTTCTGATGTTATTGCACTTTCATATTAGAACATGTCTGTACATTTTCAGTTTGTAAAAATAGCTTTGTAGTTATAATATTAAATAGAACTCACTTTGCTTGCCAAACCAACCTTTAGAATTTGTGTATTGTTGACTATACATCGGCCTTTTGAAAAATCCCTTAACACTAGCATTTTTAGCTGTTGATTTACAAACGCAGCACTCACCACAACAGGACCAGCAGGATAACGAGGGAGGATGTATTTGCTAAGATATGACTTCAATAGTGCTTTCTTTACAACATTACAAATACATTAAATTTTTAAAATACAGCTAATAACGAATATCTGTTTTTGTATCTTGTCATCGACAAATTCTGTGAAATAGCTGAGAATTTTTGTAATTATAAATATTATAAGGTTAAAAAGAAAAAAAAAAGTTGCAAGAAGTCTAAGTGTATTTGAGCGAAAAGATGAACCATGGTTTGCTCACATTGGCGCTTTGCCTATCGTTTAAATGAGATGAAATGATAAATTTCTCAATTTTTGCAGCAATAGTAGTGCCCTTGATGCAATTAATATCACATGTTATTTATTATTCCATTTATTGTTTCTTATAATTTTCTCATAAATAAGTCAAAAGTTATCTTAGCTCTACAAACACAGCTGCTGTGATCTTATCTAGAAATTGTTATTTATTATAAGTGTTAGTTTGATTGCTTTTGATAATTCAAATTGTTTTAGTCAAATATTTATTATGAATTATTTGTACCATTTCATTTCAAATCAATGAGAGTCAGTAATTGGTTCCTGAAAGAAATCATTCATATTTTTTAAAAATCGTATTGGTTGATAGAAACAAATAAAATTTTTTGTCTGACTTAACTGAAATTTGTAGGTACCGTATCTCATAAATTAGTATGATCATAGTGTTCAGTGCTGGCCTTGGGGAGGCCTGCCACCAGTTAGGAATTAAAAATAAAATAAAATGAGGCTAATTAATTTTAGCCTATTAATAAAGTAACTGAATCAAAGACACATTGAATGATATAAAATTAACTTTTTGGAGGAGATGATGTCATTCCCCGTGGGAGCCAAATGTCTAAGGCTGGCACTGGTAGTGTTTAGAATTTGTATTTTGTTCCTAAATGTAATACAATATTTCATAATCTTTTATACATGACAATTCACATTCTCATGAAATAATAATAATGTGCTCAGTCTTTTGTTGTTTTTGTGTAATTCCATATAATTAGCTGGTGAATTTTATGAATTTTAGCAGATGAAGTATTTTATTTTTAGTTTGAAAGGTTAACTGTTTGATGCCAGTTATACAATATATTTTTATAATTTATTAAAATGCTTTTGTGCTAGTTTATGCATAGTTAACATTTGATAATTAGTTGAATTCATGCTTTCAAACAATAGCATAATGCAAAATTATGGTTTTATTTGTTGGCTACATTTATTGAAGCTTTAAGTGTCAAAGTTGACATGGTTTTTAAAGTATCAATTATATTTTCATCAATACAGCACTCCAAACCCGTTCCCCTACTCCCCTTGTTAAAATTTTTTTAAAAACTTTAATGAACTTAAGTGGTTTTTATTTGACATTTTGATTAGATATTTTAATTTATCATTAATAATTACTACCTAATTCTGTTTTTGGATGCACTTTCTACTGCTATTTCACAAAACCTATTTTATGCGTATTATAATTTGACAATAAATGTAAATAACTGAAATTTTATTTTTAAAATACTGTTATCTAAATTATTAGTTTTTTTTTTCTTGACATGTTCATATAATATTAATTACGTATAAAGCAAACTCATTTATTGGAGATTCAGATTCAGAACACAAGAAAGTTTTATGATAGAAACTGCTTAACTAATAATGTTTTCTTATTTTAAATGATGTTAATCTAATACAAATTTTCAATACAATTCATTTAATGAGGGTGTTTCAATTTTTTGAGTTACTAGTTTAAATTAGTTATCATCGAATCTGAGAATGTAAAGTTCACAGTTAAAATTCCTCATTGATTTGGTATGAATTGATCTAATAGTTTCTTTGGATGTTGTATTAGATTTGTAAAAGTAAACCATATAATTTTTTTTCTCCCACTTGCTAAAATATTTGCTGGTCTACGCCTGGTTGAATATGGCATGAAACCGACACTATTTTGTTGCAAAAGTTTTAATGATCCTTTCTTTTGTATTCACATAATTTTTAGAATAAAGAAGTTGTGACAGCTTACAAATAAACTATTATTTTTTTCAATTCCCTATTTCCCTTTATTCTTATTTAAGAGAGATGTTTGTGAAACAAACAATTTATTTTAAAAGTGCCTAACTGTATTCTATATTCAATATTTTTATATTTTCCATAAGTTTTCAAAATTGCATCTGGGTGCTTATTTTTTAAATAACTTGCTTTACTGATTGATTTTGAAGTATATATAAATAAATATGGATAATTTTTTCCCGAAAATATTATGGGAGGAACTAGCTAATTTTATAGCAGATATATTTTCTAACAATAACGCCACGGGCGAATTTACGGGGGAGGGCTTTCGGGCTTTAGCCGATATTTACTATTTATTGTATATAGTAAATTTATTGTATAGTAAAATATAACCATGTTTTATGGAAAAATATTAAAACATTATCTCTTAAAGTATTATTGTTCGTGTAATTACATTTAAAAGGACTTAAGGAATCACTTAAACACAATTTCATATAGATAGCTAGTTTCTTTCTTTTTTTAGAAAGTAACTATCGTCATTTTTATCAAAAAAAAAAAGCTTTCGGGCTGGAGCCCCCCCAAAATAAAATCCTGGATCCGCTAGTGAATAACGCAATATGCGCCATACAAATTTTTGGGGAAAGCACATTTTGACTGGGTTTTGAATTATCTAATAGAAAAGTTTTAAACCAGAGGACATAGGAAAAACAACAAACAAACTGCAGTATGTGTAATTACATATGAGTTTGATTTTTCTAATTCAACTTTTGTTTACACTGTTTTAAAGAAGAGGCGAACAATGTAATATCTTGGAAGAGGGGATGGGGATTCATGCCCCACTGATCTTGGTGGGATGATCACTTCTGATGGGTACTAACACATTAATTCAACATTTATTATAATTCACTGTGTACATAAGCTTTTATAACTTATGAAGAACCTTTTAGTGGGCATGCATCCTTTTGTAATAAATACCAATGAAGTTAAGAATTATTTCACGCGATATGTAACAAATCAAAATTTAAAAAAACTTAGGATGGTATATCTGATAAGTTTGAGCGTAATCTCGCAGTCTGAGATCCGTCCACAATAGTTTCCTTTAGAGGTATAGGCTCGTGCTTGCAGAACGTGAAATCTTCCGGTGATACGATATTGCTGTCCGCGGCGATAAAATTATTATATTCCACTAATACAGTAAAGTGGATAGAGAAATGTAAAGGTAAAAGCAAGAGTTCTAGGATATAGAGAGGATTTTTGCTTCTGAGGACTTGGAAAAGGAAAATACCAAGAAGGAACTGCCGTCGGAAAGCAGGAGAGCCACTTCAACTCGGTGTACAAGCAGCAAACATGAGATCGCCTGTGAATCCCAAAGGTAAATCTTATGAATCAATTCATAAGTATCTTCAGTCTCTCCTCCAGTCTTATGGACACTCCTACTTACATCAAGCAACCGTAGTCGAAGTGGAAGAAAACAGGGTATGTTACAAGGAGCTGTCTAGTGTTTTCTGGAATAGAATCACGGAATCGCCGGAATTGTTTAAGAATAGTTATGGAATATACGGGTAATCTGAGAATTGTGGTTATTCCGAGATAGATTCTGATCAAAGAACACTCAAAGGTTTTTTACTGTCAGAAAGAAATGGATGGGACGGTTGTTGAGGTAAAGTTGAGGAGAGAATGGAAGGGAACTAATGAGGTGCCTAGAGCCGACGAGGATGGCCTTAGTTTTATCTGCATTCAGCTTCAGTTCATTTTTTTCTGTCCACCTGTGGATACTGTCAATATCCTCTTGCAGTTTTTGGGTAGCCTTAAACATCTCAGAAGGTTGGAACGATTGGTAAATTTGGAAATCGTCTGCATATAAGTGATAGTGGGAGTGATAAATAGAGTCAGGAAGGTTTCTACTATAAATGGAGAGAGTGAGGAGCCACTGAGGAACACAGTGGGGTGCCCGAATGAGGGTTTTATGACGTAAAAATTAATGAGAAGGGCGCATTTGACGGGGTTTTCAATTTTTGAAGGGAGCACATTTCGACGGGTTATGAATTTTCAAAATAAAAAGTTTCGAATCAAAAGACCAGTGGAATCATGGATCAGATCAAAGGATGTGTAATGGTACATAATCTACGAATATTCAAATTCTACTTGCGTTTGCACTGTTTTTGTGAAGAAGAGAGGAATAAAATATTTTGGGAGGGGTGGGAGAAGGTATTGCGTCATCGGCTTTGGGGGGAATGGGCTCGTGTTAATTGAAGAGACGAGGAAGGAGATTCGATAGGAATAATAACTGTCTGGAAGCGATGGATAATTGGAGGTCTTGGGTAATCTTTGACAAGGCAGATTTTGTGGAGTATTGGGAGCGAAATCCGGATTATAAAGGGTTGAGGAGACGTTTTTGCTCGAGAAAGTTATTCAACTGATCTTTAGTGAGTGAACTAATCTTTCTAGTGGCTTGGATAAACTCGACACACGTCTTGGCTATCATCAACCATGGATGATATTTCACTTTTCTGTTATACCTGCTGGGCTTGTAATAGTGATTTATTTTGCCAGTTATTGATTGAATTGCTTCAAAAACTTGATCAGCTTCCCTCAACAATAGTATTTTAGTGATAGAAAAGTTTGCTATCTTCAGAACTGAGCAGGTCTAGCGCTCTCGGCCAAACAACCGAGCTTCCTACATTACTTATATCGTAGAGCTTTCTACTCTCATTTCCCCAAAAGTTACCAACCGATTTTCTTTATTCACTATATTTAACCATTTTTTAGAGTAGGTTCAAATGTGAAATGGTTAATTATTTTAAATTAAAAAAAATAAAGGTACTTTAAAGGGAGAAATTTTGAGAATTAGACATTAAATCCCTGCCTGGTTGCATCGATGAGGATAAAATCTACATTAAAATAAAATCACTTACATTAATAATATACTGACATAGAGAGTTTATTCAAAATCGTTGGAGACGTTTCTGAGAAAATCGTAAAAATGTATTAAATTGCTGATATAAAGCAACACTTCCGGTTTGCCAGTTTTGACGAAAAGGTTGCTGTAACATTCCAGACAAACCTTAAATATGTAATTTCAGTTTTGTAAGACAATTCGTTTTTGAGCTAGGCTGTTAACATGCATGCACACACACAGGCCGTTTTATGGGATTTGGTTATTTGGACTCAGGGGACTTCAAAACTTGTATTTCCGTTGAAAACTCAGATTTGAAGTTATTCAGGATCACATATTTACCTTGACTATATATTACATATATAGGTAAGTGAAAGTAAAAAATAAACCACGTATACCAGGCTGGTCCCCCTCTTTCTCGTTGGGTCTGAATATAATTGAAATGGTAAAGATGTCATAAGTGTTAATAATATATTTGTAGCAATGTACCTCCCTGAGATGTTCAATATATTGACTGAAATCTGTACAGCCTCAATAATATTGACTATGTAAGGACACCTTTAATATCTAAATAATATTCCCAGAACTGTACTTTTGTGTAATCCCAAGAGTTATAAAAAAATTAGTTGATTTTCTTAACACCTAGCACAATAATACTTTTAGAGTTAATTATTAAATATTTTTTTCATAAGACATGGTTATATTTTACCATTTTGGGGGCTTTCGGGCTGAAGCCCCCCAAAATGGTAAAATATAACCATGTCTTATGAAAAAAAATTTAATAATTAACTCTAAAAGTATTATTGTTCGTGTAATTACATTTGATATTTCTTAAAGAATCACTTAAACTTTATTTCATATAGTTAGTTAATTTCGTTCTTTTTCTTCTTAGGTAATTATTGTTTATTTATTTTTTTTAAAAATCTTTCGGGATGAAGCCTCCCCCCCCAAAACTAAATCCTGAATCCGCTAGTGTCACCTGGTAACATTGGTTAGCCGATCTCACCCATCAAGGAGCGAAAAAGAGTTAGTGCGCGCGGAAATTTCGCGTCGGTTGTCTTGAAAATTTAGTGTTACAATTCATGTAATGCCAATTGCTTCTACAATTCTTCATTATCTAGGTAAGATTAAGTTATGTCATAATTTCTAAAAATGAATAGAGGTGTGGATTCCAAGCATATTAATACATATTATGTCTTTTTCATAATACAAACTAATTGTAGTGCCCGCCCAGTTGTTTGAAAATTATTATTTAAAGCAAAACTCAACATTCCCTTGTTACTTGTTCTTTTACGTTTCAATATTAGCAGTAACAGTAACATTCAACGATTGAACAAAATAAAAAATCCTACCGTCCGCCATCCGCCACTTTTCTCCGAAACTGGCCTTTTTTTCACTGTTATTGAAGTTCTAGATCCTCCAAGGATGGTCATCAGAACTCGACATTATCATTAGTCACTTTATTTTTTGCTTAAAGCAGCCTGGCTAGCGGTACAGTACAGTAAAGTCCTGTACTAAAAAAAAACAAACTAATTAATATACGGTTAAAATTGATTTGTACAATATATTAAAGAACCAAGAATTCTCATTAAAAACCGGAAAAAAGTAATTAATTTTTTTACTTTTCTTTAGAATAGAAATAGAAATACATTTTTATAATTCCTAGTGTTAAATTTGGGTAATTTTATGAAGACAACACGGGTTACTTGTGGTTCACAATAGCTTCAGTCACACGTGTTCATAGAGTGCCGAATACATCAGGATTTATCCCAAAGACTGTTTTCAGGGTTTCATGAACAAGTGTGACCGAAGTGATTGTGAACACGCGTCCACGGGTTACGCTTGGATCACAATCACTTAGGTCACACTTGTTCAAAGATTGCCGAATGCATCGGGATTTATTCCAAACTCTGTTTTCTGCTTTTCATGAACAAGTGTGACTGAACCACGCTTAATCCGACCGGTTCTCATCTAAATAATTACCAAAATTTGCTTTTTGGTATAAGCTATAACAAGATTTTTGAGATAAGCCATCCTATAATGAAGAAAGGTCAAGAATGTAAACTAATTGAAATAGCATTTGTATTGCAAATAAGTTTTTTATTCACATCATGAA